AAACAGTCACGAACCAGTGGTCCTGAACACAAAAGAATGATAGGATTACTCTGGATTCAAAGCAATTGATGAAATGATGTCCACGCAAGTTAAGGATAAAAAAAGAACACATGAGAAAGCTTTAGGTATTTTTGTCCCTCTTCTATTTTTTGTTTAGGAGAATGAAGTACAACACATTTCATTGTTTGCCATTGGTATATTATTTTTGTATGTATGTATGTATGGTATGTATGTATGGTATGTATGTATGTATGTATGTATGTATGGTATGTATTGTATGGTATGTATTGTATGTGTGTGTGTGTGTGTGTGTGTGTATAATAATTCCATATTTGCTATTAGTTAGCTTGAAAAGAAACCACTTTTATTAGCTCAGTACTAGCTTTCACTGCTTTCGTGATCCAATACAATGTTGACAGATTCTCAGTATGGATCTTTGTTGGTTTATGAAGACAGTTTGCAGTTATGCATTTGAAAAACTCTTTACAGAGAAGTCAGAACCACGACTGCTGTGCTGGACACTCAGTCATCAGTGAAATGTAGTGTGTGTTGGTATGAGTGATGAGAGGAGGTGGTCTTGAGAAGTCTGAACTATTTGTATTTGTGTGAAGTGCAGGGAAGGTCAAGCATATGACAGGAGAAACCAATAGGCCATTCAGAGGGTCCTACCTTACAAAGACAGTGTTGGCCAGGCCTGGGCCTCAGCTGAGGAGCCTCTATTGTAATCAGGGAGAGTAGCGGTCCCCATCAGCTCCTGAACACAAAGCCCTCCTGCGGGACTCATTCCTCTCAGGGCCAGATTAAGCTGTCAGTTGGGGGTCTGTAGGGAGGCCAGAGATTTAAGATGATGTCATAGGAAACCACTGCACCATCTCAGCAGCAGACTGGTCCTGTGAGCTCATATGATTTCAGCTTCTATCAGATACTAGAAAGCTGTAGCTGTAGTACTGGGCCTATATGTGTGTTCCACTCTAGTGTTTTTCGTTTATTAAAGAGACTACTGCACATTAAGTGGCTTCTTCATGATCTGCCCATAGGAAATGTTGTTGCTTCACTTAATGTTGGTCAAAATATAATTTAACTTAATGGAAGATTGTAGCACAGTGTTTACAGTATCTTTGGTAACTTAGAGTTTCTGGTTTAAAATGCTGTACTGCCGAGCTGGATTATATTGTTGCAGCCAGGGCTGAATGATTAACCATTTCAATCAAAATCGCAGTTTGAAGGAGTGCAGTTTTCAGTTTGCAAGAGCTGCAATTATAAATACTTCATTATTCAACATTGTCTAAAGTTTTTAATGGGGAAGTTTAATCTAATAATACAGGGCATGTGAACTGGGAGTCTAGCGTACTACATTCAGCAATCTAGATTCAACTCCAAAACAATGGGAATGCTAGTCTTCTTGGCAAAAAATAGTCCTGAAGCTTAATTAAGAAAATTTAACTGCATTTGATTCACAATTGTAATTTGCATTTGCAGTTTTGGTCAGAAACATCACAGATAATTTGCCAAAACTGTGCAGCTCCATTTGTAGCTAATTGAAACTAGGCAGGTTGGAAATGACAGTGACCGATTTGCCACCATGCCAACTGGGCATGTGCACTCCAATGAATTATGATATTCGAGCAACCATAATTCGAATTCACGAACTGATATCTGGTTAACCACAGAGAAAGAGAAAAACAATGGCAACCCAGCATGTTGTCTCATCAAGGTTGTCACAACCTCATCATTAAGTAACGTTGCTGTGGTGTTTTGACTACATATTGGCAATTTTAGCAAAATTCCATGGAGTTCCATGCATAACATGAGCCCTATTCAGACTGTAATGCTGGTCATTGTCTTCTTTTCTGGACATATGGCCTTTTTAGCCATAAAAGCTGCTCTGTCTCCGCCTTTTATGTCACATCCTTAATGATGTGCCCTTAGCAAACTGCTGACCATCAGGCACTCGCATTTCATAATAGCAAAGTTTGAGTCCTGGCACCTCGAACTGTTAACCAATCACTCAAATACTCATGCACATCCCTAATGCTCAGTTACACTACAAAAGTCTATGTCTGTTCTACACTATTGTTACTGCTCACATGCCTTTAGAAACTCATTTGAAGTAAGCAACACTCTAAATTTAGGTTATTTTGATAAAATCTCTTCAGTTATCTTCAAATTCACTGACATCCTTGGGGTCAGTTTGACCTCAGCGATTTGAACCTCCAGAAAATGATTATAATTAAAATTGTTACCCAAGTTTGTGTCAGGTGCTTAAAAAAAGTGTTTAGACGTTAAACATTGAACGGGGTCAAATTGACCCCATAGATAATAGGAGGTCATTAGATTAGATTAGTCCCGTCTTACAACATTTACTACAAACAAATGCATTTGTAGGCAGAGCATGGATAAGTCAATTGACCACTCTTATTGACCATAGCATCTTCTTTGGCTTGTTAAACCTCTTAGTTGCCTGTTTATCATCAGGAGTATATCCCTTTAAAAACTGAGAGGAGTCCACCAGTTCCGTAGTCTTTGCTTTGTTTATCTTATTCACTCATCTTTACACTGGTGACTTGTAGTGGATCTGAGGCAGCTTTAATATGGTGTGATTTGTCCTGTAAAGAGGTCAAGCTAATCCAGTTTTGACATAATGGATGACTTATCTGAACCACCTCTACCGCTGGTACTCAGGGGAGCACTAATGCACCTTAACTGCAGAGTAAATCAAGTGCTACATCTGAGACAGTATGTAATGAGGGGGGATTAGTAAAATCGATGTGTACATAGCATCCAGTGTTCAAACAAAGAAAAAAAAGAATTGGTGAATGAATGTTTATCTTCTCCAAAGTACAAAAAAAAAGATATTACACTTTACGTTATGTAGGGATGCACCAATCCAACTTCAGAAGACTCCTTAGCATTGTACAAATTTTTTTAATTATATTGTCCTAGAAGGTAAAGGTGGGCAGTATTTTATCATATCGTGATAACTACATTACAAACATGCCACATATGCTTTTCTGAGCATATTGCTGATATCTTCTGTAGTTAAATAACTGAATAACTGAATGTTTCAGAGACCATAAGTAGTCCTAAGTTTATTGCAGCACAACAAAGTTTTCGTTGTTTTTGATAGTACTGCTGGAGCGTTCTGTCTAGTCCAACTTATCAACCCTCAGAAAAACTAAATATCATTGTACATGTTTATCATGAAAATGCCTTCAAGTATCATGATATTGTATTGCCATTTCATCCACACCTACCAGTTTTCTAATAACTAAAAACAGCATCTGTGTCACTCAAATTCTGTATAAAGGGACCATCACTGATGTGATGTTATTCTGTGGGGCAAATCCTAAGCACTCTCCCATAACTTTCCCATCAAGATCCACATCTTAGCTTTCAGCTCAGTGAATACTCATTCTTTTCTGCATTCCACCACACCCATATGCTGTATACAGTGATCGTTTAACAGCACAGCTTCAGTACTGGCTATTTGGTTGTATTGCTAGTATAACTGTCTCTGCGTGTGTATGTGATGGAATGAGGGGTTAAGGTCATATGAACCTGTTAGGTCTTGTCTATTGTGTACACTGAGTGTTGCGTTCGGTTGCCATGGAGGCCATTGTCCCTGAGGTTAGGTCCACTGGGACACGTGAGTACATACGCACAGATGAGTACTACCACTGAACTTTCTTCAGGAACACTGTGTTGGCATGCAAGAGTAAAACAGCACTGTGTCCAAGACTTAGTGTTCTGTACTGTACTGTGCAAAAGTCAGAGAGCGCCATTTTTTTAAAAATTTAATTTCCAGTCAAAATGGCCATTGAGTACAAGTTATTACTTTTTCAGATTCAGGAAAAAAGCACAAATGTGTATTTTAAAAGAATATTACACAGATGTATAATAATAAGTAAATATAACATTTTCAATATATATTTTTTCAGGATTTTCTTGTATACACTTTGTTTTATTGCATTCTTTTGGTTAGACTTGCTTTCAGTTTTTTGAAGAAATGCAGGGATATTTTTACACACCAAAAGCAAAGTTCAGTCTGAGAAGTTGATTGCATATTGTGCTTCTCATGATCCAAGTAATCCCAAACACATTCAGTGCAAATTTTCTTCTTTTTATCTATCACTTTTTCTCAGTAACAGCTTCTTGACAGCTGCATATTCTTTCAGACACACAGCACTGAGTTGTCTTCTCACAGTGGAAGGATGGACAGAAGTACTTGTGGAATTGTTCAGATCTGAATCAAGAGTGGAGCTTGATATTCTCCTCTCTCAAAGATGAAAGTTTTAAGTACTGTTTATCTGATGGTGAAAGGTTTGGTGGTCTTTGGAGTTCCAACTTTTCTATATCTTTTAATAATTTTTTTGTTCTACATGTTGTTTTCGCTTTTTTAAATTTTTCCTTTGTGCAATTGGATCAATGTATATCTAATCTGAATAATGAATGGCTTCTATTTAATGGCTATGCTTAATGTAAACTAAATAAAAGAACAGTGGTCTCTGACTTTCACAAAGCACTGTACATTCATACTGTACTATGGGCGCACATTATTTTGTGTTCTGTATGAATACAGTCCTGCCCATCCTGTTTCTATCACCCCAGGCTTGAATCATTGTTGATTGTGATGAGTTCCCCTCCCCAAACATGCCTGCTAATGCCTGCCATTTCCAGCAAAGTTTCTGTTCCCACCTTACTGGAGATCCTAGTTTATGACCTCGGCTTGTGTTTTCCAGCCTGCTTCAGTCAGCTCCCCTGCTGGCTGGAGCCTGCACCAGGCCTGTTTAATCCTGAACAGCTCTAATGCAGGCATTCCATGCCAGTGGAGGATTCGTCCCACTGCCCTAACATGACCTCTACTTATGGTCAGCTCCTCAGTCAATGGAGAGTGAATAAAACTGGCAGCAGACTAGCTGCTGGATCTAAACTGAATTCCTTTGTTTATTTTATGCATACAGAGCTGTAGAGTTAAGCTCTCTTCTCTTTTCCCCACACAGGAGAGTCTACAGCAGCTCATTCTGATGACTTTGCCCAACGTACTGACCATCGCTAAGGACCCTTTGTCAGGTAGTGAACAGAGTTTTTTGTGTCTTTGGATTGTCATTGCTGTCATTGATAGCTATTTTCTTTTTGTCCTAGCAAGAAAATGGAAACTTATATCAATATGCTGATAAATTTTTCACTGAGCCATAGCTTTAAGACTACATGATAGGTAATGTCCGATGTCTCTCCCAAAAGATAAAGAATGTTCCCAGTTTCCCTTTTCCAAGGGCAGTAGCTTCCTGGAGTAGCCTCCTCCCTCACTGGCAGTCCAGCAGTCATAAACAAGCTCTCACCTGCGGACCTGGACGCTGCCTCTAAGGGGGAGGAAGCACATGTTTTAGGCTCATAATAGCTGGAGGAAGAGGGAAGGACTGGAGGAAGGACGCTGCAGGGGCCTGGCCAAGGCTGAGCGCTGATTGCAGGACCTGCTGTTGACAGATCGCTGGCTTGATCAGTGGACACACAGCTCAGATACTGACAGAGAGAGAGAGAGTTTGTTAGCAGCTGTTGACAGCCTCGGCCGTTCAGCATACAGAGTGCTCACAACTGTCTATCTTTACTCATTACATCATTCGATATATATTCATTTAATATGTATCACCTATTTCTTGTACTGGGATGGTAGAATATGAAGACTAAATCATTTTATTTAAAAGATACAGTCCAAGTTGTACAATGCAATGTAGTGTGACATGACAAGTAATATGTAATATTCATAATTCATGAAGTGGATGGTGTGCTATCACCTGGAGAAACTGCTAACGCTACCACATGCAGAGAAGAAGGCACAGTAAAGAGGGAGATTTTTCCCTACTTGTTTCTCCTGTTCTAAAGCAGCAGGTCAGAACTAATTCCAGCTTGCACAAGCCTGTACTGTATGTGTTTAATATGGCAGTGTTTAATGCTGAGACCTTGTAATTTGTTTTATAAGGAGCCTTGCAATGTCTAATTAGCTGCTAGCATGAGGCTAATTTCTACTGCCATCAGTTTGTGGCGATGTTATATGTAATGCTAGCTTAAACACGGCAAGTGAAGCTTAGGGGTGCGGGAAAAAATCGATTCTTAGATGCATCGCGACGCGGACGTGAACGATTCTGAATCAATTCATATCAATTCATATGTCAAAAATCGATTTTCTAAATATTTAATTTATAACATAATGTTGACGGAACGCAAAAGGCGGAACTTGGAAGTGCGGAAGTGCAGCGCCCGGACAGTCTGTGGCGGCACATAAAAAAAAAAAACACAACTGGATGAGTGAGAAATCCGACCGGCTCCCTCTGCATTAAAAGCCAGGTTAGATCAGGAGTCACAACACAAATGATAAGAAGAGCCATTTTGTCCTTTCATCAAAAATCAGACCACCTTGGGGAGCCACAACGTTTAATGTCCAGTATGTCTCAGTATGTGATAATGTCTTAGTATGGGCTAAAAATATAAACGAAAACGCAGATTTACTTCGCTCTGCTTTAAGCTTTAGCTCAGCTATAGCCGCTTTCCTCCCATCTCCGCCAGAAAACTGATTCGACTGTTTTACGAGGCTGAAGTTGCTTCTTATTCTCCAGCTTCGTGTTCGAATTTACCCGTTCCACCTTAAATTCTAACTGAGGCGCCGAATGTAAATGCGGCACCATTTAAGATGGAACGGAAGAATTCGAAAGAGAAGCGACTTCAGCTTCGCCACTTTTTAGTGTGCGACAGTCTCTCGTTGCAGATTTAATGTACCAGGAAACCAACTGCGCTGCTTATAAATGCGAATGACGCATCGCTGCTATGTGACCTGCAGTTTGCACGCCGGGTTCTCAGTCGTTGCAAAACAGGGCTCTCGCGCTATGTCCCGTCTCAAAGATACTTTACTAACACAGCGATCCCCCCCGTCTCTACAACGAGACCAAAACCGAAGTTCTAAAATCACTAAAGAAAACGGGTAGAATAGCTGTAACGTGCTGCGTGGAGATCCATTACCACAGGATCTTATTTCACCGTAACTGCGCATTTTATCACAGATGAGTAGCAGCAGCGTCTCGTGCTCCAAACAAGAGCACTGAATGAGAGCCTTCTAGTTCACTTGCCACATCACTTCCATTTGTTTTATTAAAGAAGATATTGGAAGTAAATTCATTATGGATCATTACAAATACTTTGCTTTACAAGTACCAAGTCACTTTAAATAACAACAACACCGAGTTACTTAGTCATTTTAAAATGTATATTGTCTCTATATTCTGTGTATATTTTGTGTATATTTAATATATTTCAGTTGTTTTTTCTTGTATTTTTATGTTTACTTATTTACTTTCTGTAGAGTGATTAGCTGAGCCTCACCACAAGCATTTCATGCATAAATGTCCTGACATGTTGTGCAAATGACAAATAAACTTGAAACTTGAACTCGAAACTTGAGCTCACACAGTGAGAAAATATAAATGCTATATAGAAAAAAAGATGCATCGAGATGCATCGATAATCGTTTTATAATCACATCGCAGCCCTCTGAATCGTAATCGAATCGAATCGTGAGGTGCCTAGAGATTCCCACCCCTAGTGAAGCTTATGTAAAGCTGTAAAGTAAATACATGTAAAGTATTCTTTACTCTGTATATCACTCCTGTCAGAACAAAACCTCATATCTCCAAAATGATAACTTTACAGGAGAACGAAAAAACTTTTAATATAAGTCAAAATAACCAGACTTTTTTTCCAAGTTATTTTGGGCCATTTCTTTTGGTCCATTCATCATGAAATTTACACACAATGTAAAGGGCAACAGGCATTTTCAAAGTATGTGAACAACTGAAAACTCCTCTGGAAAGCCCTAAATTTGAAGCCTGTTTCTCAGTATTATCCAAACAGACTGTTAGCATGTTAGCTACCTGCTGGCCTCATCTAGTGAGGGTAGAAAATAGTTCAGTTACAGAGGATATAAGGTGTAAACCGGTTAAATAGAGCCTGCAACAGCAACCAATGTTGTTCACTTGGCAGTTCTTCATTTGCTAGACAAAGATTTCAGCAATAAGAGGCTTGTCAGGCCATGATTTGGTGCGGTACTGGATTGGGCAGCATCCACGAAACCATGTGTCAGGCTTTAGTCCTTGCAGGCCAAAACACCACAGACTTGAGCACACTGCCTCATTAAACACACCTGATTCATCTAATGAGCTAATTAAGAAGACCTTCATGAACTGAACTCAGAGCGTTAGTTGAGAGTAGATGCTACACCTAATAGATGACAATAAATTTAACCCTTGAGTTCATCTTTAATGAAAGATTACAGTAAAACAATTTTGTCTTTTAAATTATTTGATGAGTCGAGATTAATAATTACGGCCAGAAACATAAACTAATAAGGGAAAAAAGTTTTGTTTTCAGATTACTTTGAAGTGACAGTGTGGAGGATGGGGGTGGGATTAACTTATATTTGCCCAATTTTTTCTTTAATTCTAATGTAGTTAAAAGACCTATTTGGTGTCCAAAGCTTGTTTCTTTAGCTTTGCACTGGAGCTACAAAGCTATTGCAGCTAACAGGTAATGGAAGCTTTTGACGCACCAGTTATCACTGCACAAGCTGCATGTCTGCATCATCACATACTAACCTGAAACTGCACTGAGTGAAGTAATATCAAGTAGGCATCATTATGTTCATGACTCTGAGTGACTTACTGTTTCTATTAAATGGGCAAAAATTTGGAAAGAACAAAAGTAAAGAAAAACTTTGGAATCCAAACATATCTTGAGTAATTGATGTGAGGGCATTAGATTTTTTTGTCAAGCTGTTGCTTTGATATGTGAATTTTGCTATTTGTAGCAAAATGTCTAAGTGACAGTGTAGCTTAAGTGTTCTGTGTTAGGTCAGCCATAGTATTTATTACAAGACATTACATGGCTTTCACACTTTAAGACCACTTGCAGCTGATCCTAACTCGTACACTGTCTTTTATTCAGTCTGTTACATAACTGCTGACCACTTGCGATGCTAAAAACAGAGTGGACGATGAGGCCCTTGTGTTGCAAGTCTGTGGTGAGATAGTGATCAGCGGGATGACGCTGAGCGTGGCTCGGCTGCTGGTTTGTGTTTACAGTCTGTTGTATTTTTGGTGGTGCTTTGATTGTATGTGCTTGGGAGTCTGACGCATGCTGGTTTTGCATGCAGGTTCCTGCAGGGGATCAAAATAACCTTTATCACAGTCACTCCCGCAGCTTCGTTTGCTTCCTGTGATGGGTAATCGAGAACCAGACCAGAGATTTTCACGATATGTTTTTTCAGATAATAACGGCAGGTAGCCCAGACGGCCCATCCTTGACCAAACATTAGTTGCTAAGTAGGGCTGGCGCTATGGATTATATTAGCAACTGAGTAATCCACTGATTAATTTGATGATTAATCGAGTAACAATGCTTTTGGACAAAAGACCAAACAGTAAAAATGGGCTTTAATGAACAAAAGCTTTGAATAGCATTTCAGGGTTTCTAAGATATTTGATTGTAAAAAGCTAAAGAAAAAGACTTAATGTATTAAATAATAAATATACTATATGGCAAAATATGCATATAAATGGGTGCATCTATCATGTTTCTTACTGTAAAATAGACTGCTTGGAGAATTTAAACCATACATTATCATTGAAAAGCTATATGGCCTAATAGTATAATACAGAAAGCATGTTGTAGAAAAGAACTCTATGAAGATAAATGTGTTTATGGAAACATATCCATATGAGGAATAGTACTGACTTTGTGTGCAGAAATGAATGGACATGCGTGGGCATGCAAATTACATCAAAGCTGGTGACGTTTGTGCGTTACTGTGCGGTTACAGTAAGAGTGGACAGTAATAGTGAAAGTGCTTCAGCTCTATTGCAGTGAGTTCTGTTCTCTGTATGAATGGGGTACGCTGTGGGGCAGGGCAGGGCACGGTCTCCATGACAACTCCCTCCTATTCTCCCCAGAGTGTTAGTCCAAGACACATGGGCAGAAAAACACTCACCCCGCCACGCACACATGTACACACCTTATTTGTATTAATGCTTTGAAGTCTCTAGTTACTGCAGTCTTTTTGCTATACATTCAGTTTACATAATCCCATAGTTACAGGTTCAAATCTGTACTTCATACTTTTTCCATTTGTTTTGATGTCAAAAAAGACAAAGTATTTAATGTAATATGTCAACATTGTTAAACATTTCATGCAGTTCAAACTGCAGTGGAAACGAAACTTCAAAAACAGTCCGTTTTGAATGTAGTATTTTTGTAATATCACAAAAACCAGCACATTTACACATATCTACCTTTTTGACCTACAGTGGTTTAACCCCACCCTTTCACATTGAACCTGTGCGGAGGAGGGCAGCCAAGGAACATCATGAGTGAAAACAGTAAACTATAACAAGCATGTAGGAAATGGGCCCTTTAAGTAATTATATTGTAATGCTGTCTAAATTTTGCCATTTAAGCATTTTGTCATAAAACTAACATCTGTTTTCCTTTTTCTCTACAATATTATGCCTGTAATTATGCATTATAAACTTGTATGATACACAGATAGAATAGTGACTCAGTCAGCTGAAGGACTGGCAGACTATAAACTGTGATGGATGTGTGTGACATATGCAAAAAATGAAGCCACGGTGTAATAGATTGCACACATTGAACCATGTGTGGTGTGCTGTGCAGACTGACCCACTAATAATGGGTCAGGACTGACTAATAAACGTGGCACAGAGCCTGTGGCTTCAGGGCTACTGTAAGGCAGTGGGGGCAAAGGGGGGCTTCAGAGAACTGTCATCAGGGATTAACTGGTAGGACATAATCAAAATCTGGATGACTTAAAGGCAGCATGTGTTGCTCCAAAATGTGCCTTCATAAATGCAAGTTACCCACTTATTCCTTCCCCACAGTACTATGACAGACCCTGGCCTTTGAACTTCATGCTGGTGGCAATCTGAATGGTCTTTTACTTCTCTGGCCCAGAGAACACAACGCCCATTATTTTTATGAGCAATACACATTTACACTGTTCATCAGTCCATTTCAGATGACCTCTGGCCCAGAGTAGTTGTCAGCATTTCTGGACGTTGTTGACATATGGCTTCCGCTGTTCATAGTGCAGTTTTAACTTGCATTTGTAGATGTAGCAACAAACAGTGTTTATTGACAACAGTTTGTCATAGTATTTTCTGAGCCCGTGTGATGATGTCCATTACAGAAACCTTCTGGTTTTTAATGCGGCACCATCTGAGGGATCAAAGGTCATGGCCAAGCCTATTAACATTTTTAGAGTTTGATTTTTCACTAACACTGTTCAGTTAAATTAGGGTTTTGTAAAGATAAAACAGCTGCTGATACTTTGAGTATATTCTCTGACACTCAGCTTCATGTTCATCAAATAAATGTCATTTGTTGAAAGTATGCATTGAAAAGTTTTTGCTTCAACAAGGCACCACATACAGTACCATGCAAAAATCAAAGACCACCCTTCATTCATTTGATTTCCAGTCAAACTGACCATTAGTAATTCATTTTTCTGAATCAGGAAAAAATGTGAAAACGGGCAGTGGTGTGCAAATTTGTCCAGAAAGTAACTGTTTATTTCCTCAGAATAAATACAAATAACATTTAATGCAGCAAGTTGTGTTTTTATGTATGTCAATGTGTTTATATAACTGTTTCTAATCTTCTCCTCAAGAAAGACTAGTATTACTTAGTTACCTAATACCTGATTTGGCTCGTCAGTGCTTGATTATGCTAAATCAAGTGTGATGGTGATGGAATTTAAGAAATCCATGCGATGGCTGGGGCGTCCAGGAGAAATCTGAAAGCAAACTTTGTACTTCAAACGAGCTCACAAGACAGCGGCTATTTTTTTCAAATTAAAAAATTCTTGTTACTTTTTTACTGTATTTATGCTTATGTATTTATGCCTTTTATTCTACTAGTAAGACATCATATATCATATTTTATTATTACTGGCAAAACCACACTTATCATCAATATAAATGGTTTAAACAATGTTCTTAGGAATCTTAGGAAGCAAAGATAGAGCTTGATTTTCTCCACTGTCTCAAAAATCAAAGCTTTAAGTACGGTGTATCTGATGGTGACAGTTTTGGTGGTCTACCAGGTCTTACACAGTTGTTAGAATAATATTTTAACATTTTAAATTTTAATAATTTCTTAACACTAATTTTGGAAAATTATTTTTGTCAGTTATTTTTCCTTTGACTTTTCGCTTTGTTATGCAAGTGGATTATCTTGTAACTAATCAGAAATATCTCCTTTAGCCATTGTAGGTGCACATGAGAAACAAATCTGCAATGTAGCTGAGGTGTGTTTGGGTAGTTGCTTGTTTCTTTGAAGGGCACCACAATGTCAATGACTCCTTTAATAACTGCTGGATTTAAGATTGGAAGGATGGAAGAGTTAACATGGCAGTAAGGGGCGCAAATGTCTGACACTGCAGTGAATGAATAACTTTTACTTGAAAGGGAATTCCACTGATTTTTTGAAGGTTTTCGGTAATTAAATCACAGAGATGTAAACAAAGTAATTCAGGTTGGTTTGATGGGAAATGGGATGTGCGTTATAGAGAAACTTGCCGACCAGTGAACCAGCACATGTAGAGTTTTAAATGTAATGTTGATAGTGATAAAACAGTGATAAATCTGGAAAAAAAAGTTTTTCTGTCTGCTACTTTTCGTTACAACACGCTGCTGGATTTTTAAAAATATGTTCTAGGCCAAAATCTTATCTAAAAGCTGTTATGAAACAACTCGGGCAGTGTATGCACAACCAGTCTCATGCAATAACTGTTTGTGAGGGAGCTCTTAATGGCATTAAGTGCTTTAGACATATGGTTTTTGTTACCAACATTGAAAAATTCTGGTTCTGTTTCTCTACAACGAAGCATTTTACATTAAACCACACTGAATGACTTTGTTTATGTCTTAACCATGTACCTATACAGAATTTAAAAAAAAAGCTGGCCTTAAAGGTCATTTTGAATGTAAATTGTGCGTGCAAAAGGGTAGTCTCTGACTTTTTCACCTTACTCTACAACAAGATGATAAAAGTGCATTGAACTTTGCATTGTTTATAAAGTAGTATTTTCAGATTTTGTAGGTTTTGCAAAGAAGAATGGGGAGACACAGTAATCTGTAAAGCTCTTACAAACTGGCATGGACTTCCAAACTTTGAGCCTCCAATGTATGTGTTTATGCTTGATGCTGATGAATAATTTTGGTCTGCAGGGAAGAGCATGGAGGAGATGAAGAGGCTGCTGCTGCTGCTCCTGGGCTGCGCTGTTCAGGTAAACTGAGCCGTTTGCCCTTCGCTTCCACACCTCCAACCAGGAAGCAGCAGTAGAATCACCCTGTCTGAACATGCCTGTCCTTTTCCCTTCCAAATCAAACACAAACACTGATTTTCACAAAGAGTTTCATAAATCAGTCTGATTATAGCCTCTGCACTTCAGCTAAGATTTCTTTCTGTGGAAGAGACTGATTTCTGTTCTGTGCAGGTCCCGGCTGTTCACTGCCTGCTTTACTCTAGCTCTATCGCTCTATCTCTTATGCCACACAGCTCTTTTTTCTCCAGCTCTCCCTCTCTCGCTCCCTCTCTTACTCCACAGGTTTTTCCTGTTCTCTGTATAGATGGTAAACAGCATGGATAGACTGAAGCAGTATTACATACCAGAGTGCTTCTGAATCTCTGTAGTGTTTAGCTTTAATACAGCTTTAATACAGCAATAACAAAGGCCTCTTGCTTCATCCTGAGAAGCTCCTTCCTAGTCTTTAATGTAATGAAGACCAAAGTGTCTGACTTCAGCCCTTTCATCTCCTGTAAAGCATTCGTCTGGCTAATCATCATCATTGTCATCAAATCCCAGTTAGGAATGCTTAGCTAATTCTTGTCTCTGAAAAACTACAGGCAAGTCTTAACCTCAGCAGAAAACGCATGGCAGAACCAGACATGCCTTTGTGCACCAGCACTCATCCCTTTCTTTCTCTTTTGCTGTATTTTTTATCTCCAGTGCGAGCGTAAAGAAGAGATCATTGAGAAGATTAAGCTGCTAGACATCGAAACACAAGCAGCCATAGTCTCCCATATCCAAGAGGTTTGCATAGATTTTAAATCCTTTTGAGTTTTCAGTCAAAGTTTTGATTAAAAATCTGAGGTTTTAGTGTCAATGAAGGTCTAAGCATCTTTCTGTTTAGGTGACCCACAACCAGGAGAACGTTCTGGACCTGCAGTGGCTGGAGGTGGGGGAGCTGCCGGCTGAAGAGCTGGATCCTCTGTCCCGAACCATGGCCTTTCACCTCCGCAAGCTCATCGACGAGAGGGATGAGTACTCAGAGGTAACTTTGATTCTCAGCTCAGTCTCGGCTCCATGTGTTTGGGTGAACAAATGGGTTTCCCTCATCTGTTGGGCAAAGGGCTTTTTGTCATTAACATTAAAGAACCTATAGATTGGAAAACTGAATTTCCCCCCCTTTTTTCTTTTAAACAAGAGTTTGATGTAGTATGTAAACATTTCAAAACATACCATTCACTCCACACTGCATACAGTCCATACATAGTAACAAAGCTGCAAAACACCGTTTTTTTGATGTCATAAAAACCAGTGCATTTGCATTTTTCTACTTATTCAGCCTGGAGCAGTTTAGCAATGCCCATTCATGATGAGTGTTCCAGCCCAGACAGATCTCATTTACATATAAGTTAGCAGTTTTAAAGGCACTGTAACAAAAGCGTCTGTTTTAATTAATAAGGGTTAAAGAGAGCCTGAAAAATGATCACGTAAAAATTAATTATGACTGTTTTTGGTATGTAAAACCACATAAATATAATAAGTGGACCACAGGGGAAAAGATAAAGTATAAGGAAACTGCAGGAGATGGACTTTTTAATTAAATTGTCTGTAAAATTCTGTATTCTATTAGCTTTATTTCACATCATGTTTTCAAGGTTTGTTGTATGTGCCAAGTGTTTATTGAATATGATGGTTTTTATGAGTGTACATTGCTAATTTGTATAAGCCTACATTGATACCAAGTAGCTGGCCCATAGCTGGCCCATATTCAGCCCAGTCAACTGACTTAACGATTGTTTACTCTCTGCACTAAAGCTTTAGTTTCATTAATGACACTGTATGTAAAAGACATGTTACCTTGTCTCTGCAAAATTTTGAGCTCCCTAATTTGTTTATCTTTGAAATATAAACAGATTATTTATTATTTTTTGTAAAAGGGCAATTCAATTTAAATGTAAAAAGATTTCACATTATTTGATGAAGTTACTATGGAGCGCTGGACTAGGGAATGTCCCAAAAGCTGTTTCAGTTATGGAGCAGACTGTGATTGAATCCAGAGTCTAACTGAATTTGCTGTGTGTCATGTTGTTAGACGATTTTGGATCTGACCCAGGAGAGGGATTACCTGCAGTCCCAGCAGCCCCCTAGCCCCGTGAGCTTCTCCAGCCCTGAGCGGCCCTCCCAGCTCTCTGTGCTCTCCAAAGAGGACCGTCAGCACCTGGCAGTGGAGCTCGCTGACACCAAGGCCAAACTGCGCCGCTCCCGCCAAGAACTGTGAGCAACAGCACTATATCCTTCTGTTGATAGCATAAATGTCTACGGATGCACAATGATACCAGAATCATATCAGTATCAACAGATAATTGCTTTAAAAAATTACCTGCACTGGACCGTTGTTTACATTTGACCAATATTTCAAACCAGTATTTGATGACATATTTGTTGTATTCTGAAAGAGCAGAATGTTTAGGGGACACTGAGCTACTGGGCTTCAGTATATTTATTTTAATGCATTTGACATCCTGCTGAAATAAATGTTACATGTCTCAATTTTTATGTTTTATAAATGCATTGGCAGATATGTAAATTTAAAAAAATATTACATATTGGCATTGACCCAAAATATCCCATATCGGCGCATCCCCATAAATACCTGCTTTGCATTAGTCAGAGTGAGCATAGAATTATATGTATTTCAACAAGACATCAGCTGCATAACGGTTTCATAAATGTCTCCATGGTTTCTTCAGGCACTGGATGATCCAGTTAAAAAACATATATAAAAATATATATAAAACATATCTGCTCTTGCACACAGAGAGGAGAAGACTGAGCACCTGATGGACACCAAGAATGAACTGGAACGGCTTGATGCAGAGATGCAGAAACTGAAGCAAGAGGTTAGTGTGTCCTGGCTGTTTCTGCACTCCTTGCTCGGGCCTTTCCTCATTAGACTTCAGAAAAATAAAAAAAATATGTTTTAAATGCTGTAGAACATGCTACTGCAAATGCGCTGTGGTTCCAATAACTTTAAATGGAGGGCTATACCTTAATCTTGGTATTAAGCCTCATATTAAGTGTTAATATCAATCCTTATCTTCAGCTTCCAAACTTAATTTATTTATTTTTTCTGATTTTAATTTTTCAAAATCATTTGAACACAGCAGCTACTCTTGACATTGTGGGAAAAGTTTATAATGAATGTACCAATACAAATGCTCCCAAATTGCTTGGAACAAAATCTGTTTACATGAACTTACATTACATGTAATAAATGTTTTTGCCTTCTCCTGTAAAGTTTTTGGAGATACTTTCTTGGACAGCAACGATATGCTTCTGTAGATTAGTGGTTATGCATATGTATTATGTATATGAGTCGAACTAACTGTTCGTTTATGTACAGAACACTCAGCTGCTGGCCGAGGCACGGTCTGTACGGGCATATCGTGATGAGGTAGACGCTCTGAGGGAGCGTGCAGGGAGAGTGGATAGGCTTGAAACAGAACTGGCCCGGTTCAAAGAGAAACTGCACGATGTCCACTTCTACAAAGCCCGCGTGGAGGTAACCTCATTTTGCCATTGTCTTGAAATAATACTGTGTTTAGAGGTGTTAACTGACCTCTACATCAATAATGTAGCTCCTTTATATGCTGTCTGGCTCTGAGAGCCCCTGCTGGCTTTGTTAGGCAGGCGTAAAGCTTTAAGGCTCAGCTGGGCTCCACAGCTGTCAGTGACAGGCATCTGACTCTTTCTGTTTAACTGTGTTATCCTTCTATTTTCTTACATATCTTCCCCTGTCTCTCCTGTAGGAGCTGAGAGAGGACAACATGACTCTGCTCGAGACTAAGGCCATGCTAGAGGAGCAGCTGAGCACAGCTAGGGGGCGCTGTGATAAGCTACACGAGCTGGAGAAGGAGAATCTGCACCTTCGCTCCAAACTGCACGACATGGAGATTGTAAGTAGAATAGTCGGTGCTGATTACGTGTGGGTGTAAGGCTGAATGGGTGCTGATTGGGCCTGCTCTTTTGTGTACTGCAGGATAGGGATAGTGATAAGAAACGTTTGGAGGAGCTGCTGGAAGAGAACATGCTGCTGGAGATCTCACAGAAGCAAAGCATGAACGAGTCTGCTCACTTGGGCTGGGAGCTGGAGCAGCTGGCTAAGAACAATGAGGTCAATGAAGGTCAGTCAAAGAGACAGTTATGCATATTACAGCACCCCAATGCATGGCATGGACCACTGAATGCTTTTTTTTGGCAAAATAATGTTTGGTAATCACAACCATCTCTGAGCACTGAGGGAAAACTCTGACAAAACTACTCACAACAAACCTGCACTGAGAACGACAGTGGCAGTAACTCAGTCATGTTTATTAGGCTAAAGATGGGGAAAAGGTGTAACTTGGGAAAGAATAATTCAGACAGACATAATCTTGATCATCTGGAATCTGTATAAGTTTTGGATTCAGCTGTGTGGAAGACCACACTCAGCTCAGTGTAAAAACTGAAACAGGCATCGCTAAGGTAAAGTTAGCTTAAGAGTTGTGATCAAATGCAATACATAATTGTGTGGAGTTTTTATGTTTGTCGTATATGATGTTTCTATTGTTTCAGTTTGTTTTAGGTAGGTTTAGTCTTAGTATGCTTTGATATTTTGTAGACTTGGCTTAGAAAAGTGTCACATAAATAAAGTTACTTTCTTGTGCAACTTGATTGGACAGCTTAACACACTTAGAAGAGAACATTAGCTGTCAGTTTTCGTACAACAGATATCCATCCTACCCACCCATAGAGAGCGAGGCCAGTTATGCTCTCTTGGACTCCCAGCCAAAGATGGCTGTGGCATTGCCGAGGATCAAACTCATGACAACTGATGATAGGGCTAGCGCTTAGATGCTTGCTCCATTCGGGAGCTCCAGAACGTAATTTAAAGGGTGGTTGGGGGCACACCACGCCAACCCCCCTTCTTCTCAGCCTAGCATGGGTGCATGACATGATGGATCTATTAGTGCTGGTTGTCACAGTTGCCTGTTCACCATCCTTTGATTTGAAGAAATGAACATTATGTGTGCTTGAGTTTCTAAACAGTTTCTCCCTGTAGCCTATGCTGCCATCAAGATGAGACACACTGCACTTAATTCTACAGTTGTTTGCAGAGAGCAGCATGATTAGTTCAATTTAAATCTGCAATAAATCAAAACAAATCAATCATAAAGACAATGCTCAGGTTATATTTAGTTGCATTAAGTGTTGATATGCTAAAGCTGCTGATTGAGTTGGCCATTAAATCCATATCAACAATATATGTGAGAGATAGATCTGAATGTTTTACCTTGATAGGCTGGTGTACTTTGGCCAGTGTTAAAAATGAATGCCTCCCCACTACAATGCCCAAGATTGCACACTCAGGATAATATGTTCTATAACAGTTACTTGGACTTTCCTTCATCAGATGTTCTCAAAAAGAAGTAAGCCCTTCTATCACAATTCCTTTTGAGAATGATCCAACATTATTTATTAACATATTTGGGTTAAGCACATAGATTACCCATTTATAGCCTTCATAACAAGTCTTTTAAAATGCTGTCCTTTGTAGTGCTGAGGTTTCTCAGTGCTTAATGGTTCTTGAACTCTGTCTAGCTCTTTGAGCCTTTGAGGCATGTTCTGATCTCATATCAGAGCTTGATAGAATTCCTTGTACTAGAAAGTGAAAGTGCAGAATGCTTCTGTTCTCCTGCAGCGCGCAAGTCATTTGTGTTTGAATTGAACGAGTCGACGTCCAGCCGATTGCTGAAGCTGGAGAAAGAGAACCAGAGCCTGCAGAGCACCATTCAGGAGCTGCGCGAGGCGTCGCTCAGCCTGGAAGAAGGCCAGCTCCATGCCATGGAGCTAGAGAGGGAGAACCAGGGCCTCAGCAAGAAGGTACATCTCGGCTCTCCTGGCTCCTTATGATACCATAGCCTTGTGCCTGAAGCGTTTCATGTTGTTTGAATGGTATTGTGACGCAAGTTGCGGTCTGTTCTTCTCAGCTTGAGCGTCTCCAGACCCAACTGGACCAGGAGAAGCAGACCACACAGGACATGGAGAGCCTGGGAGAGGAGCTACTCAAAGAAAAGCAAAGGCTGGAGAAAGCCCTGGAGACGCTGCAGGCAGAAAAAGACAAACAAGTAAGGGCCGCGTTCTTCATTTCGCTCTACGGGTGTTTACAAAATAGTTTGTTTACGCATTTTTCCCCCCATATTCCGTATGTAGTCAATTAACCAGTACTTGTTTGGTGTCCAAAGCTTGCCTCTTAAAGGGCCCACATTCTACATTTTTGTGTATTGTATTTTCTTTCCAATGAGGTCCAATTATGTACAAAACACACAATTCATTTTTATATATGCAACTTTTCTTTACAATTTAACAGGCTGATTGTGTTACTGTCCCTTTAAGAGTAATATATGTAAATGATATCTGACTGCCTGCCCTGTATAATGTCTCATTCAAGAAGCAGTTCAGGCTGAATCACTGCATATAACTTCAGTGTGAATGGGTGGTGCTAAACTGCTGTAGGCTGGATAGGCAGGAATATGTAAATGTGTTTTCGTGACTTCATAACAACAATGATTGTCAAACAGGCTGTTTTGACAGCTTATTTTCCATATAGGAAAGATAATGGAACATATAGACTGGGGAGTTGACGGTACGTTTTTAAGTTTAACAATGTGTACATATTACATCAGACATTTATTTTAGAAAAGCAAAAAAAATGGTTTGGGCCCATTAAGTTTTGCACTAGAGCTGCAAAGGTTAATATAATAAAGGTATCATATTTCTCACCAATTAAGACGGTATGCTTAAATCATTGCATATTTACCTCAAATCACCTTGAGTTGCTAAATGATAGACTTAAATGTACTTGTTTATGTGGTTTCAGACACTATTTGGTTGTGCTTTTCTCTGTTTCTATGGTTTAGGGCATATGTGTGATTATTTAGACTTGCACCTTGGTATAAGCTACGCTATATGTCCAAAAGTATGTGGACACCTGACCATCACACCTATGTTCAACAAGCTCATATTCCATTCCAGAAACATAGGCATTATTATGGAGTTGACCCCTTACTTTGCACAGCATTTTGAGCATTTTGCACAGCTCCATAGCCTCTACTCTTCTGGGAAGGCTTTGCATAGCATTTTGGAGCGTGTATGTGGGGGTTGCCACCACTTTACGCCACTCCAGCCGACATTTGGAATTGCACTTAGTGATCTTAGGCTTGTGCGCAGCTGATCTGCAATGAAAACCCATTTCATGAAGCTCCTGACACACAGTTCTTGTGCTGATGATACTTCCAGAGCCAGTTGTGGCTCTGTAGTGAGTGATACAACAGAGTATAGGCAATTTTTTTATGCTGGACTCTGTGAGTTTGCTTTGTCTACTGTTTCTTGTCTGAGCTGTTGTTATTGCTAGGTGCATGCACTTCATAATAGCATTTATCGTTGACTGAGACAGATATAGTATAGTTATATAGGTAACTGACTTGTGGCAAAGGTGGCATCCTATGACAGTACCACATTTAAAGTCACTAAGCTCTTCAGTGCGACCCACTGTGGCATTGTTTATCTATGGAGATTGCATGGCTATGTGCTTGATTTTATACACCTGTTATCAGTTAGCTGAGGCAAAAAAAAAACTGAACTTTTGGCCATGTAGTGTCAACTTGTTAACTACAGTGGCCTCAAAGCTCATGTGCAATACTATAGAAGCAAACTTTGGGCACCAGACATGTCTTGGCTGATCGACTATGTAGGTAATGAGAGAATTGAGGATGCTGTTGATCCAAAAGCTGGAAGTCTTGCACTCATGTAGTTCTCCAATTAGTGGAGTATAAGCTTTCATTGTTTGATAGAAAATGTAAGAATGCATTTCTGTGTACAAATAATGATGGTGTATTTGTATTTGCCAGATCTCAGAGCTGGAACAGGAAAAGGAGCACCTGAATCAGGCCGTCAGTGCACTGCAAAAGCGTGCCCAAGCAGACAGCGAGGCCCGCGTGCGGGAGGTGGAGACAGAGAACCGCGTCCTCCACCAAACCATCTCAGAGACGGGCAGCCGGCTGGTGCGGCTGGAAGCTGATAAGCGTCAGGCCACCAAGGAGCTGGAGGGCCTGCGGGAGCGCAGTGAGCGCTGTGAGGAGATGGAGCGGGAGGTGGCACGTCTAGAACGTGGTCGCGAGCAGCTTCAGCGAGAGCTAGCCTCGCTCAGGATCGCCAGTGAGCGTGCTGAGGCCCTGGAACGCGAAAACGCTATCCTGGAACAGGACAACCGGCGGCTGAAGAAGCAGGCGGACACAGCGCAAAATGCTAACGTGCGCCTTGCTGCAAAAGAGAAGGACCGTCAGCAGCTGTATGAAGAGAACCTTGAGCAGCGGCGCGCCCTGGAGAGCCTCCGGCCGGCCGCTGCTCGCCTTGCCCAGTTGCAGCTGGAGCACAGTGAGCTGGAGCGGGAGAGACAGGAGCTTCAGGGCACTGTGGAAGAGCTCCGGGCCCAGGCCAAGCGCAGTGAGAGGCTGGAGCTCAGCTGCAGCAGCCTGGGTCAGGAGAACCAACGCCTGCAGCAAAGCCTGGACAACAGTGCTGCTAAAATCCAGGACCTGGAGAGTGAACTGCGGGAGGCCGAGAACCAGAGCAAGGAGCTCCAGAGGGAGCTGGAGGAGCTAAAGCAGGCAGGGAGCCGAGCAGAGGAGGCAGAGAGGGAAAGGCGGTGCATGGAGCAGGAGTTGGGCCAGACAGAAAAAGAGAGAAAGCAGCTAGAGAAGGAGGCACACAGGCTGAGGCGGCAGCTGGAAGCGAAGGAGGCGGTGCTGGAGGAGAGCTCACTCAGGTTGAGCAGCATGGAGAAAGAGGGCACAGCCATGAACAGGGAGCTGGCGCGGCTCCGAGAAGCTGCTGGGAGAGTCAAGGAATTGGAGAAGGACAACAAAGATCTGCACAAGCAGGTCACCATCGACAAGAGGACCCTGGCCACTCTCCGAGAGGTACTGCAGTGGTTGCTGTAGCTCTCCTGACAGAGTCTGGCACTAGCAAAAGCAAGGAAAATTGTATATCTGTGTATTGCTTGGGATGAAAAAGTTAGACGAATAAACGCTAAATAAATGTAAATTATGAATGAATCTTGGCAAAATTCATTACAAAGTTTGGCAATATAAAATATAGAACAATCTATTTTCCATGTGGATATCTCTATTTTTGCTGTTTTATTCTTTTAAACATTATTTGAAAATACCAGCTTCTGTTTATAGTATATCATCATTTTATGATCAATGGACCAACACAAATGGTCTAAAATTAAAATAAGAATTTTGAGAACACTTTATAATAACAAACCCATATATATAACTATATAGTTTGTAAATGATAGTTAATGATTATAAAATTGCTGCATGTTAATAAGCACTACATACAAAATAATTGACAATTCAAAGCATTGTACAAGTTTTTTTGTAAGTGTATCATGTTTACCTGTGCTAAGTAACACATCTTAATACATGCATTATAACAACTTTATAATAGTGGCCCAGTTAATGATTAATAATGTTTAAACTGTATATTAACCACTTAATGCTACATTAAAAAAAAAAAAAAATACTTAATCATTTAAAACAGGGTGTAGACAATTCAATAATTATTATGAATTGTTTTTGTTCAACTAAGTAGATGTTTAATATTTCAAGTTATATAATTTTTAAATGATAAGTATGAAATAACAATCATTAAGAGCACACTCTAATGAATGATTGGACTTCTACAATTCAGAATAATTACGGATTATTTATGTGTCACTAAGTAAACGGTTAGTAGTTCAATTGGTACCATTTATTAATGTATATGTAACTATTATATAATTACTAATAGTAATTAACAAACTATTACATAATTATTAAATTGCTATTTATTGAGGCCTGTTATTATAAAGTGTTATCAGAATGTTTTTACTTCTCCTGCAAAGATATATATATATATATATATATATATATATATATATATATATATATATATATATATATATATGCAACAAATGTACATATTGACAGTGTTGCCAGGTTAAACAGTGTTAGCCACTCACTGTTTAAGGCTACATGCACGTTTTAAGCCTCATTGTTCAACTCTGATTTTTCTGACTTTACGTTTGTGGGGTAAAAGTGACCCATATCTGTCATCATAGTGAAGACCACCTGCGCCCAACCTGCATACGCACATCTAAAACAATAGTGTCGCATGAATGAACCACATTCGGTGCATGTGCAGTGGAACAGAACACATTAATTCTGATCTCTCAGCATATGCATTTGATCTGGGACCTTGTGTAAAAGTGTCTCAGATCCGGTTTCAGAAGGTTTGTGTGTTCACATGGCTCTGAAAAAAACAGTGGTAATGTGAACAGTTGTAACCTTTTTACTCATAGTAATTGCAACACAAAGCTAGACTTCACCCTTCCCAACCTTTATTGCTAATGCCAGATTGAGGAACAGGATGATTATTTTATGAAAAACACCACAGATGTGCATTATCGATTTAGAAACACTGTAATTATACTAAGTTTATTGCCCAGGCCTAGGCTAATTTGTTTGAATCCTGTGTGTGTGTATGTATATATGTATATATATATATATATATATATATATATATATATATATATATATATATATATATATATATATGTATATATATATATATAGTTGTGTTACTATCAGCTCTGTTTAACCATACTGCTCTTTACTGCACAATAACTTCAAGTTAATGTAGTTAATGTCTAGTAACCACTGTTAACCCAAAGCTGTGTGTCTGTGCTGTAGGAGCTGGTGAATGAGAAGCTGAGGGTGCAGCAACAGTGTAACGAGCTGGAGAAGCTCAGTCACGAACTAGAGAAGATCGGGCTGAATCGAGAGAAGCTGCTACAGGAAGAGCACAGTTGTGAGGACAAGTAAGTGACCAGACCACTGCAGTGACCCCTCTGATACTTACTTCTCTAAAGTATTGCTTAGTTTCTGCATTGTACGTATGAAAGGAATGTTTTACCGACCATTGGTTGTTTGTTTTGTGAATGCTGCCTTCTCTTCCAGATGGAGCAGGTGAGTTAACAGGGCATAACCCACTGTCCAGTGACAGTTTCACGCTAGTCTTCTTCTCTCTGTCTGTGGCGTTCATTCAGATTTAGCCTTCACTCTCTGCACTCTTGTTTTCTTAACCTGCCTCAGAGTGTGTGTTGCCTCAGCCTCTAGCTATAGTGTGGTGTACTGACCCAGACTAAGCTTGTGCTGAGAGGGGCGAGGCCAGGGCCGTGTGTGGTGGAGCACATGTAATCATTTTCTCATATAGAGGCCATTATAAAGGTACACGTGTAATTATAGAGCAGCCTAACACTCTGTTTGGAGGCTGTACTGCTCTTTGATTAATCTTCTCTGGAATGTACCCTGGAGAGTCGTCTCAGGGGGACCCCCCCCTCCCTCCACTCTCTTTCTCTCCTCCTTTCTCCCTTCTCTCTCTGTTAGTCTTTATTTCTATCTCTCTTCATTTATATCTCTATATCTCTCCTCTCTTTGTCTGTCTGTCTGTCTCTCTCTCTCTCTCTCTCTCTCTCTCTCTCTCTCTCTCTTTCTCTCTCTCTCTCTCTCTCCTGCTCTCTCTATTCCTTTTTTCTTCCTTTCTTTCTTTCTTTCTTTTTCTTTTTTTCTTCCTTTCTTTCTTTCTTTCTTTTTCTGTCCCCCTCTCTCTCTATCCATTACTCTTTTTCTTTCTCTCCCGCTCTTCATATATATATATATATATATATATATATATATATATATATATATATATATATCTGTCTGTCTGTCTGTCTGTCTCACAGTGTGTTATTTTATAGAGGTCTGAATGGTGTGACTGGGTTCTGGTAAGTGTTGTTTGTAATGTGTTGAAGAGTGTGATCAGAGAGGATTAACAAGCCTGGGCGGAAACAGTTACATTCCTCAACGGCTGTTAGTGCTCAGTGAAACGCAAGCTGCTCCTAATCGCTTAATGTCAAAAGACATTTACTATTACCAGTCACATTCCATCACCACTGTGTAATCACTATAAGATCTGCTGCTGTGTGCATGTGTGAATGCTCTTGAGTTGCTCTTGCATGGATTCTTTTCATTTGAGTCATTTTGGCCCATAGCGGATTTAGTGGTGATTTAATGATGGAAAAAATGAAATGGCTATAGAAAATAAGCTCAGTCTGCAGTCTCAGTTTCCATACTCTTACACAGCACAGCTAAACTAGGTCATCTGTTCATAAGCCCCCCGCTCTGTGCTAATGATAAGATCTGTTGGCTGATTTTGCACTGCTGTAAGATCTAAACGTTTTAACAGTAGTTGCTGTGTGACCCCTCAGTAAATATAAAATCCTGGAGACGAAGATCGAGTCAACACTAAAGAAGACTCTGGAGCTGAGGGAGGAGAAGATCCAGGGCCTGGAGTCTCGGCTGGAGGAGAGCAGCAGCTTGAACCAGCAACTGCGCACTGAGCTCACTACTGTATGAGCACAGTACACAAATACATATACATAAACACAGCTACTTAATGGACTTAGGCTTCACCTTTATTTATGCTGATCCACTTATGACTCCTCCTTTCCAGGTGAAGAAGACCCTAGAGGCCCTACGGCAGAGGCAGGAGGAGGAGGCTGCTCACTCTGAAATCTCCCAGAAGGCAGTGGAGCAGGGCCGGTGTGGCCCCAGCCAAGAGAAATGGGAGACGGAGCAGAGAGAGGCCACCGCTGAGCTGCTCAAACTCAAAGACAGACTAATTGATGTAGAGAAGAACGTAAGTTATGAGCACAGAGACACAGAACACGTTTTTATTTACTGTACAAATGTTCTTTTAAAAAATACACATTAGGCCATAATCTTACTTCAGAACTATCATAAAACCATTTCTCAGGCATCAGGGAGTGTGTTCATAACAATGTCTGGTAATAACTGTCTGTGAGGGAGATTTTAGAGGCATCAAATGCTTCGGATATTTGCTTTCTATCACCACAACGCTGAAAGAGTTGGACTCTTAGTATCTCTTGAACGGCATATTTCACATCAAACCACTCTGCGTTACTTTATTTGCATCTTAACAGATTATGTAGATATTTCTTTAAAAATGCTGTAATTTCGCTACAAAGTAATAACATTTAAAAAAAACAAAGGTATACAATATTATCATTATCTTAAATGTAGTCTGTAATTCAAGACATATGGTATGTGAGGTTTGCCTCCTTAGTTTTGCACTAGAACTTCTAGGCTAGTGTAGCTAACAAATACTGGAAGCCTCATGCCAGTTGCACACCTTAATACTTTCAAACTCTGCCAAGTTAAGTGATCTTACTTAATGTTTTTTTTTTTAACACTGTAAACTGTACTGTTATATTTTTTTGATTTTAATAGATAAAGAATAGCTAAAACAGAAGTAGAAGCCAGGGTTTTGTAGAAAGCATGTTTTTTTCAGACTTCTGTCCATTTTTATAGCTGCTAGTCTCATATCCCAATCACAAAATTAAAGAAGCACACTTCTGGTGAAAACATGTCTTGGCTGATTAACTACATTTAGGATTAAGGCAAAACTGTGTAAATGAGATTTTTTTCTTAACCATTCATTTTCATCATTGGTTCCCAGAATGCAGCCCTGCAGACGGAGAAGCACCTCCTGAAAGAGCAGTTGAAGCAGCTGGACTCTCAGAACTCGCAGCTGAACGCTCAGACCCTGGCTTTGCAGAAACAGGCCTCCACACTGCAGGAGCAGAACACCACACTGCACAGAGACACCGCCAAACTACAGGTAACCAGCACTACAGGGGTTTAATTTTACTGAGCATTAATTGCTAGCCTACAAGAATCATATGAAATATGCAGTTAGGCTGTGGGTTCTTACTTACGCAGATTCCCTCTTTCCTTACCATGTCAGTGCATACTCATACTCATCTCCTCACATACGTAAATGCAGATTGTCCCAAAGTGGTCTGTGTTCAAAGTGGAACTGTGCATTACCACACAAAAAAGTAGTGAACGCAGAACTTTTTCTTTTAAAGGTGTCATTAAATAAATCCAAATAAATAAACATTACTCACTGCTGCCCTCTACAGATATTAATAAATATTAAGTAAACAAACATTACTCACCGCTGCCCTCTAAAGGTGTTATAGCATCAGGCAGAAGTTTGTTTTTTTCACAAGAACCATGATGTGTCTCAGTAAATGAGTTTTCTACTTTCTTTCATTTGCATGTGTTTGTCTCAAACCAACAGATGAAAATGCACCCAAATTAAATTCTGTTTGTGTGATGTAACTGTGGAAAATAATTGTGGTCAGCTTAAATAATTGTGTAGTCATTATGACAGGCCTGTTTTCAGGATTTGGATTGACACAGTTTATTATTACAAAATACTGTATTGGGCAGGTGTAGACAGTGTGTGTAGGCGAGGTGAGCGCAGGATTAAAGATAAACAGGCCTGAGCACATCTACAGTTCAGATTTCACTAAATGTTCAACAGTTGAGTGCTCGTCTGTTGGAGTTGGTCCACATGGCTCAGGATTCAAATAAGAAAACAGCTCTCTGAAGTTTAGGGTCATTAAAGTAGCAGTTGTGATGAAGTGGTCACCCTTGACCACTCACCCTAGACTAATATTTCTCTCTCTGCGTGTGCGTCCAGGTGGAGAATTCCACGCTGAGCTCTCAGAACGCCTCTCTGTTGTCTCAGTACGGGGCTCTGCAGACTCAGCTGCAGGCTGTGGAGACAGAGGCGGAGGTGCTGCAGAAGCAGAGGGAGGAGGCGCGGGCGGCCCGGGACAGCGTCACGCATGACCATGAGCGACTGATGGGCGTCCACGAGAGGCAGGCTGCTGAGTACGAGCAGCTCATCTCCCAGCATGCCGCTCTGAAGAGCAACCAGAGAGCACTGGAGCAGGAGCACAGAGCACTGGAGAACAAGTCAGTACCAGCATTGCTGCTGTATACGTTTCCATAGTGCAACATGACCTACACAGCTACTGTACGGCTATACTCTGCCTGAAGGGGGGGACCGTTGGGGTACACTTAGTCTCCTTTTGAAATGTTCTTAGTTTCATTTGAAAGGGAACGAGGTAATCAAAGATGTGCCACGAGTGAGCGCTGCATGAAGTTATTCAGCAGCACCGCATGGCCAAATTTTAAAGTTCTGATTTTTAGGAATCCTACATTTTTATAGTAAAAATTGACATGATGTATTTGTGGGTTTATTTACCAAAAAACACAGTTCATTTTTTAAATGACCATTTTTCAATTTATTTTTGTCCTTTACTATACTTTACTTGCTATACTACTAGACTGTAAATTGTCTCTGTTCTTATTGGCTGACCTGTACTGTTTGTCATTCATAAAGAAGTCCAGACTGAAACACTAACAGCGTAAGTGGATAGGTTAAACTCTTGTAGGCCAAATAGGCAGAGATACGTAAACACATTGTTTTTCACAAAATTTCACAAAATTTCAAAATGGGCTTTTTTGCAGCTTCCATATATGGACAGTATGTGCTGAGGATTAATGTTACTTTTTGAAACTTGAACAATATTTACACACTGTGTCAAACTTTTCTGGTTTTCCATGGCATGGGCATTTAAAGGCTTTAAAGGAGTTAGTTCTATAGGCCATGTTTTTTTTTTCTTTCTTTTTAAATATGTGTCTTCTTTTTCTAATATTGATGGTAATATTGTCTCCCGGCATATTTAATGAAGACTGTTTGCGATGTTGTTTAGACAGCCTTTTTTGACTTCTTTTCTAAACCCTTTTGACCTAAAGGCAGTCTAAACTCCGAATGGTTTGAATGCTGATGAGAGCTGACATCACAACCCAATAAAACATGTGGAGTAGGATATAATACCCAAGGTAGCACCTTTGTCAGCTGTTCCTTTTTCTGTGCAGTTTTTGCAAAGAAAAAAGGCAAGATATAAACAGCTTTCTGTTTAATTTATTAGCAAAACAACAGACAAAATCTCCTTTATTAAAACTAAGGAGCACCGATCATTCATTTTTATGACCCATTTGGATTCCAGTTTCTTTTGTGTTTTCTCTTGTTTTTGGACGATTTTATTAACCTTTTTTTTGTACCGCACACTGTGTGTTTTCTATTAGCCAAACTTGCAACATAAACAACATTTATTCACTGTTTAATGGGCCAAACAGGCATTTGAGTTTTTTGGTCATTTGCCTATTTAATAACATGAATCAAATGAAGTGCTTTATTGAAAGCAGAAGACGACTGGCTATTTAGTACAATGAGTCATATTATAATATAAATGTGTTAATAATCATGCTATGACATTTTGGTATAGGTGTAGCAGCATCATTCAAATACAGCGTGGCTGCACCTACCTGTCTCACTGTATTTACATCATAAAAGTGCAACTCAGTTCTGCCAAAATAGAAACAATTAATTGGCCGATTGCCAGTTTTGTGTTTTGAGTGAAAATCTGATGATTCCGATTGTGCATCCCCATTAAAACATGTTTGAAAGCTAGGTGTTCTCAAACTTTTGACAGAAAGTATGTAAAAATCATTTCAGTGTTCAAACGTAGGTCAGCTTGATGATCAGGTTTCTCTCCATTAGGAGAATGACCTGTGCTGGTCTGTTAGCTCAGGCGTGAGGTGATGGAAAGTGTCGAAAGTGCGCGACATCCACGCTGCCTGTGTATGTGCTGCAGGTGTGTAATGTTAGAGTGATGAATCATGTCTCGTCTATACGGAGACGCCACTGTGACTGAGCTGTGAGGGTTGCTGACAGAACAATAGTGAAGGACTTATAATGGTCACTTACAGCTTGAAGTGGGTGGACATTGATACCAAGACAGCAAAGCTGTACTGTGCAAAACATATTTTTGAGCTAAACCTAAGAATGTGACACAGATAATCTCACACAGTCTGTGTGTATGTATTGAGGTAAAAACTGCTCCTCATATAGTGTATATGTTTGAACAAAATGGGTCTATTGTGGCCTCACTACATGTTAATGCTGCAGCTCCTGATCTAATATGATCATACTGGAGTCGTTTTTGAAGTCTGTTCCAAAGAAACCAGAATGCTTTGCTTCTGCCACATAAGTAATCTGCAGAGGACACAGTCTGAACAGCTTATTCTCATCTAAACCTAAAATTTATCTGCTTTCGTATCTGCATTTGTGAAACTAACATTATTGCTTAGCATTTTTAATCTCGACTTGCACACACGCCTTAGAATTCATTTTGTAAGTATCTATTATAACTGTTGTTTAAACATTTCAGATAGGAGTATTACATACAGCATTATATAGCCAGACCTGCTGTGCCGATCTCACTATAATGGCCAGGTCAGCCTATGAGAGTCTGTGATATGTTACATGAGAATTTTTATATGTTTACAGTATCACAGTTTGGCTATATGATGCATTGTTTTTGAACCATTATACAAAACTGTTTTTCCGCAGAATTAAAATGGGAAATCGACATTTATTCAAACAAATGCAGCGCCTAGTGAAAGCATAATTAACACAAACGAGTAAATTTCTTAGAAGATGAATAAATTTAAATACACAAAATGCAACTTCTAAGTGTGCGTAAACCAAATCAAATGAAATGTTGCTTATTACAGATTTATTTGGCAAAACCTCCTGGTAAAGATTTTTATCCCTAGACCAGATGTCTTCAAATCCAGATCTTAAGTTCAGTTTCCGGTCTTGGATTTTGTAATTGCTTTAACTTAACTGAACTGTTGATGCCACTGTTTGGCTTCCTAGTGTCAGAAACATTCCAGTGTAACCATTTTTTTCATAGTATCTGACCGTATTGAAAAATGAACGTGTATTTTATATAGTCATATGCAAAAGTTTGAACATCACAGGTCAAATTACATGTTTTGTTGATTTGTTTAAGTTTTATTTATTCTTTTTTACTAAGTTTAAAATGAATACAAAAAAATACAAAACATATAAAATGTAAAATGTGCAATAACTTTTGCACAGGCCACATTTAATGTTTTATGTTATTTTTTCCTGATATATATATATATATATATATATATATATACCATTTTTTCGCTTTTCCTTTTCCTTTTTTCTCCTCTAATGTCCAATTCAGTGTTCTGTGCTGTTATCTGCTCAATACCTGGTATCAGATCAGTGCTATTTATAATCACAACCCCTTTTATACATATTGTCTCTTTTGGACCAAATGTTTCATTTTTCATTTTTGCAAACACTTTACATGAATACCATGTCTGCAAGAATCTGTACATACACTCATAACATAACGTTATGCGTTCATAAGGCATTATAATTATATAAATATTTACAAAAATACATTACCCTTTATACATCTTAAAAATTCTGATGTCTAAAACAGCAATGACAAGTGTATATTATGTTACTTAAAGCATGCGATGATGTTACAATACATTGTACTTAAAGTAATTATTCCATTTCTGATTCCTGAAAACAGACAGTGTTTTGTTCTGAGAGCGATGACCCAGTAGAGCCAGCACTGTGTAAAAGGGAATAGGCGTTTTGTGTTTCTTTCCTTATTTTTAACTATGTCTGTGTCCATGTCACACATTAATAAGCTTGTGCTTGTAGTGCATCCACACAAATGTGTGCACACGTGCCCGTCACGGCACTTTTCCATGCTGCTCAGTGGAAATTTCTCCCTATTGTTTATGGAAGTGAGGTGAAAAACAGAGCGGTGTTTAGTCAGGCTTAGAACTAGTGCGTGTGTGTGTATCTCCTTTGCTGTCTCTCATGAATAATGCAGCAGTGGGTCTCCAGAGACCTAGAGCTCACAGATAAAGCAGCCGGGTGTCAGGGGCCCAATCAGCTGTGATACCGGCCAGCCGTGAGCCTCAGAGGGTTGATGGGATTTCACCCTGCATTCTACAGACCACATGTCACCCATGCTCAATATTTCATGACTTTCATTTTTTAATGCCCCCACTGTTGACTAATGACCCCCTCAGCTGCATTGTGCTTCATAAAGTGGGGGTGAAGACTGTTAGAAATCTATTTAAGTATATTGTGTTGTGTGAACGTGTGTGAAGCTGTTGTGCACTAAAGGAAGGCTACTTTCCGTGTTAAACTGTTTGTGTGTGTGTGTGTGTGTGTGTGTGTGTGTGTTTGTGTGCAGATATGTGGTGCTCCTGGAGCAGAAGGACGCTATGGAGGCACTGGAGGCGTCTTTGCAGAGAGAACGGGAGAGTTTAGGCGAGGAAATCCGCAAAAACACTCTGATTCTAAAGGAGAACCGCGGCCTGAGGGACGAGATGGACAGGTCAGCCTTACAAACTGACCTCACAGATACACACAAGTTTTGCTTCAAGGCTGTAGTACAAGCTAAGAAGGGATTCTGGCAGTTAATCAAGTGGCTAATGCTGCCCTCTGCTGGTTAAACAATATTACTGTAGTGTTCTTGCGGACACGTACTAGTAGTTACTGATGTCAAGTTTTAAAACCTTTAGAAGTTATTATAGTTGTTTTTACAGTCAAAAGTTTGAGCACCCCCGGTCAAATTACATTTTGTTGATTTTTCTAAGTGAAAATAAGTTAGCACTTCCTCTATAGACAACACACATATATGACATTTTTCTGTAAATTTTAGTGCACAACTTGTATTTATTTACTGATTTTAACAATTAGAAAAAATAAAACATGGCATAAAATATGTGCCATAACTTTTATAAAGGCCCCATTTAATATTCTATTATTTTATTCTAATATGTTAGATACAGCCAACAAACAGTAATTCTGCATTAAAATATGCAGAAGTGTGTTCTCTATAGAGGATGTCTACTTATTTTCACTTAGGAAAAATCAAAATATAATTTAACCAAGATTTTGCTTACAATTGAATGTTTGGAGCACATTAATTGCTAATATATTAGTGTGCAGTCCCATAATTAAGTGCATTTGTTACTCTGTAATGAATTACATTTACATCACGTATCATATTCAAGTTGTTGTGAACTGTGAGCATAGATCCATTGTACTGGAAAATAACTTCCCTTTTTTTATCAATGTTTTTCAATACATGCTCTTGTACATGTGCACCTGTAGTTCTCTATCATATTTCTAATGTGATGTATGATGGCTGTGTGTTTGCAGGCTGTCACACACGCATGCGCAGCTGCAGCAGGAGTATGACAGTCTGCAGCATCAGACCAAGGAGCTGAAGACGTCTCTGAATGAGTCTCAGCTGGAGCTGAACCGCTGGCAGGCGCGCTACGATCAGCTCAAAGAGCAGCATCAGGGTCTGGACATCTCCATGACCAAACTGGACAACCACTGTGAGGTGAGAGGGGGACTGACTGCAACTCTAAGGCCCAATCCCATTTCTTATTTTTACCCCTACCCCTTGTTTTCGAATGTCACCTTGCTACTTGGAGCTGAGTTACAAGTTGTAGTGGTTGAAATCTTTATATGAAATGGGACCCTCAAATAAAAAAGAACATTACTTCTTTAATAGGCTACTAGCGGTGCTCTGTAGGCAACCCTGCCAGTCTGCAGTGATAGCAGAGGAGGGTAAAGTTCAGCAACCTCACTGCTGGGCTTTAGTTTAATTTAGGGAATCATATACCTTCAAAGGGCGGGGAGGTGCACCAATTATATATTATCACCCACTCCTAAGTCTTTGGTTATATGAATCTGAAGTCGGCTATTTGCCAGCTTCTTGTTCAGATTTCCCCATTCCACCCTAAATAATGCAGCAGTTACATTCCAGCGTCAGCTAAGGTGAAATGGGAAAATCAGCTAGCTAGCTACCGAGACTTCAGACATTTGGTGGGCCATGTAGCCCTAACACTTCGCCCTACCCTTCTATATATGTTTCAACAAAAATCAGGACACCCTGCCCCTAGGCATGAATGTGCAAAAGGGAGGGGTAAGGGCTAAGTGGTAGTGGCAAGGGGTGAAATGGGATTGGGCCTGAATCTCAGATTTGTTTGTAAGTGGCAACTGAGTGTTCCATAATGACATATTTCCCTTAGACACAAAGAGAATTTTGGATTGGTTCAAAACTGTCATATTACAGCAATTAGTCTGCTGTTCTCCTACACATGAAAACTTCCTACACATACAGTCGTATGCAAAGGTTTAAACACCGCCAGTCAAATGACGTTTTGTTGATTTTCTAAATAAAAGTATAAGTACAAGTGTTCACTTAGTTTCACTCTGAAAATCAACAAAATGTCATTTAAGCAGGCGCAGCGAACATTTGCTTACAAATTGTTTGTTTTTAAATTTTCATTTTGTATTATGTTGAGATTATGCTGTTTTTGATATTTGACATATTTAGTTCTTGACTATTAATTTAGCGTTGATGTTAAATTAATTGGAAATTGAGGCTATTGTGTAACATTATCATGTTAGTATCAACATGTCAAAGTGCAAACGACTTATTTTCATGTGGCATTTGCCTGTTTTTTTATTTTTCTGTAGGATGTTATTTTAGTTACAACACTTTCAGACAAATGTGTGGCCTTCTATGCTTTTTTGGCACCTTTTGGCAAAAATTACCGTTCCAAACATGCATTCATCTCATTTGTAAATAGACATTGGGGGTGGGGGGTGGGGGGGTTCAATGTCAGAAGGAGCAATTCAAAAGTAAAACTGCAAACAAAGTATGCCTACAGTTATACATGCTTTATTAATATTAAAACACAAGAACAAGTAATGTTAACAGCATTAGTAATAGATATTTGTTAGAGATTCTGTTTCCTTTTTTCCCATTGTCACTAAAATTTAGTCTGATATGCAATTTGTTTAATAATTTGTAATATATTATTTTAATGTTTTACACAATATTTAACAATATATTACAAAAATAGCAAAAAAGCCCTATAATGATGAATATGATTATAATTAAGAAGAAAAAGGAACACCTATAAGTAACTGTTATGGTATACGTCAACACACGATCATAGCACAGTCAAGAAGTGTTAAAAACAATTCCAGGGCAAAGTAGTGTTTATTTTTTATGTCATTACCCTCTGTAACCAAACAAAACAACAAAATCTGTTTTAGCTTTAATTAGAGATGTAATCTGTAATTAACTGTAATTTAATAATTGATATGACTTTTGTCACTCAGCTATGTACTTTTTTCAACAACATCCCACAACTCTGAAAATTAAGATTTTTGGCAAGAGGCCCATTGTTAGCCTTTGTTACAGCACAGTAAATAAGTAAATCCCAGTGCTGAGCCTTTGAAACTTCTCCTCTTGGCTGTGTGTACTGGGCTGCTGGGCTGCATGTTTACAGGAAGCAGCGGTTGAGTGTGAAATATTTGTCTGTGCTTGTGCAGCTGCTGACCCGCCTGAAGGGGAACCTAGAGGAGGAGAACCATCACCTCCTGAGCCAGATCCAGATGCTGAGCCAGCAGAACCAAACTCTGCTGGAGAGGACCATGGAGAGCAAAGAGCTCTACCACGAGGAGCAGAAGCAGTACATGTGAGTGTCTGGAACAGTCAGTTGTAGACATCAGTTGAGGCATCAGTTCCAGCATGTTGTGATTGCGTGGTTTTAACCTGTTTCTCTGTGGGCTGCAGTGATAAGCTGAACTCATTACGGAGGCAGAAGGAGAAGCTGGAGGAGAAGATCATGGATCAGTACAAGTTCTATGACCCGACTCCTAAAAAGTGAGCTCATCCTTGGCTGTACACTTAGCATTACGCATGCATTAGCCCTCCAGTTTAAAATCTAAAATCAAAATTTCTTTAACCTCACTTCACTTGCCTTGGTTCATGTTACTGGTCATGTTAAGCACAATTCATCAAATATCATTTAAAGGATAAAACCTTTTATCTTTACTTTCTGTAATTACCTTTGCCTCTAAAATGTCTTCTGAGTTTTGATTACATCACTGTGCACCAGTGGGAGGAGAAACATGAACCAATAATATCATGTTTCACTCACTCTATCCACCATGCCCACCTATCGTTAAGCAAGATGCTCGGCTAGCTCAGAGACCCTCCTGAGTACAGTGTTTCACCCAAACACATTATGGAACAGTACAAAAGCTGCGTGTTGCGTTCAAGAACATTTGAATAGTTGACATACATTAAAATAGAGTCATTAACTATGAGGTCAATGTAGCTAACAAGTAAAGGTTCTGTATAGCATTGTGCTTTCAGTATGCATGAAGTAACTTGAAGCAAACAGTGTGCAGAATGCTAAGTGTTAAATATTATCTTCCATTGCTTGTTAGCTGCATTAGCCTCATAGATCCAGGATGATTGTTGTTCATGATGTGTGTGTGTGTGTGTGTGTGTGTGTGTGTGTGTGTGTATATAATATTAAATTTTTTGTGTGTGTTTTCATGTTGCAGGAAGAGCCACTGGGTTGGAGCTAAAGCCATAGCCAAGCTGATTAAGCCCAAGAAGGATGCTTCCCGTGAGAGGCCGGAGAGCACTCGCGAGCGAATCCGCAGTGCACCAGACATTCCTCTTCCAGAGATCCCTGTCACCTTAGACTGCCCTGACAGCAGCCCACCTCTTCCTCCCCCTCCACTACCCCCTCGCCAGACCCGTCTTAGCCTAGACTCATCAGTGAACCACTCAGTGGAGGAAAACCACGTCCAGTCCCCGGTCTTCTCACCCCCAACCAATAACAAAGGTGAGTCCACACTGCCTGTCCAGCTGCCCAAAGTGCAGTCAGTATGTACAGAAAATGAAGTGTTGAGACATTTGGATATCCCACTGGGGATAGAGCAGTAAATGCATTGCTTTTATGAAACTATGACAAAATGCAGTATGATGATATACAATTTTTAGTATGTAATTTATTAGTAGTAAACTACCAAGTTTAACTTAGCAATTTCATTTGTTAACCGTAGTATAAAGCACAATGGTTTTCAATAACTTGGTGTATCATTACAGAATTCAGTTAATGTATGCATTCATATATGTGTATATCGAGTATTTTACAGTGGCTCAACCAGTCAGATGTTAGAACTGGAAATATTCATTCTATAGTGCATTATTCTTGACCGTACACCCAAGATTTCATAAACCCGAAATAGTCGTTAGTTCTCTATAACCATTTTATTCCACAAGGGGGCCACATCCCTACATTCAAACTTCACTAGAACTCTGCTCTGCTAACCATTCCTCTAGACTTCATCTTTAGCATCATTTATCATTTTTCTGTCTTTTAAAACTCTCCAAGTCAGTCATTTTAACCTATATGTGATCTTGCATGCATTTCATCTAATCTTAATCCGAATGCATTTGTTTCTTCTAAGGGTGCTGGGACTTCATTCATAGTGTTAACTTTCTGACTCATCTTCTCTCTTCCACTGACCCCGTCTCTCTCTCTCTCTCTCTCTTCCTCTCTGGGTGTTGCTGTATGTACATTAATTCATTCCCCTTCATACACACACACACACACACACACACACTCAGCCCCTGCAACAGCTAAGCGGTTCCGTTTTCTGCGGAGTAAGAGCCAGGAGAAAATGCGGGTGCCGCGAACCCCACCCTCACGGCCCTCTCTGGCCAAACGGCTGCGTTTTTGGGCCTCTGCTGACGTCATCATGCCCAACTCCCCCTGCGAGTCGCTCTCGCACATCGGCCAGTTTTAGCCTCTCTATTACCTTCCATCATCAGCACCATCATAACAATAATATCTCTCAATAAGCTCAGTCATTCTCACTCGTTGTTCCAGTTTATTCGCGTTTAGATTTTTTTTAAATCTGTCTTTTTTATTTATTTAATTAGAATTTTGATTGTTTTTAATAATTTGATGTATTCTGTAGTTCTTTTATAAATGTGCGCACTAACAAACAAATGCCAAAGAACACCGCAGAACGTATTTCTGATGTCACAGCCATAATAGCATAATGACTGTACACTACTTGGGTTCAGTAACTCAGTCCACACACGAGGGAAACACATAAGCACACATAGACAGAGGCTGAACTCTGCATGAGCGCTCTTATGGGGACCCCTGATGTCCAGGCCAATGGGATCTGAGTAGAACGTTGCCGTAAGTAGCTGTGTGTTGAAGTGGAGCACCTGAATGCATCTGGCTTTGCTCTTGCTCCTTGAGTGATGTTTGTGCCACCTGCTTGTGTGCGTGTTTGTTTTTTGTGCGCTTTAAGGTCAAAAATGACTTTGTAGGAATAACAGAGAAAAACGGAGCTAACCTACAATGTCAAGGCTTACAAAATGGTCTTGACTTTATAAAATTCTTTTTACAAAAGCTACATCATTTAATTTATTGAGACTGAAAGGGCAAAGCTATTTCTCTTTCGTTAGTGAGGTTAACGCAATAGTTTGAGAAGAAAATCAAATGTAAATCTTTTCCATGTACCCCAGATGTAGTCTATCAGCTGAGACATATCTGGTGTCCAAAGTTTTCTTCTTTAGCACTGGAGCTACATTTCTAACAAACACTGCAAGTCAATAGTCACCCAACAGTAAACAGTAAATACATTCCCAAAACTCTTTTAAACCCGCTTGAACTGCATCCTGATCTTCATTAAGGTCGTGCAGGCTTGTCGATCTGGTTAGGACACAGTATGACTTGCTGTGAACTATAAAAATGAAAAACTTCACTGTGTAACTAAATGCAGTGGGCGACACTTTAGGCAACAGGTGTTGTGCTGAGTTCTGACTTCCCTGGAGAATCCAACTCCACTGTCAAACATATACACGGGAATACGGGCTCTGCTGTTGAAACTGGCTGCCCTTAGCGTTCGGATACACTGAAGTTTGTTTATTTTTTAGTAAGTCATACTAGTGTATGTATATAAGTAAAGGCTGCAGTGTATGAAAAGTGCTATGAATATAAAGACTACAGTGTATGAAAATGCTATATAAATAAAGACTGCAGTGTATGAAAAGTGCTCTATAAATAAACTTGTCTTGCCTTGCAAGACAGTTTAGCCAGGCTTGACTGTATGGCTGTCACTATAGTGCCCCTTGCTGTCATGCACAGAATGCAGCTTGTGCATGTGTTGCATTTTGAATTGCGCTGTAACACATTTTTAAATGCAGCAATGCTTGAAACTGTGTCTGCCTAACTTTCAGCGTCTGTATTTGCGTACATGCATGGCATATGTTTCTGGCCTAAAGAAGAGCTGGATGTGTATTGAGTGAGTTAAGGGAAGTTTTAGGAATATATTTACAGAAAAGATTTGGGTGATTGATTATTGACTTTGGGTTTGTTAGCAACATACCTCCAGCTCTAAAATAAAGAAGCACTTTGTCCTGACATTACCAGTGGGGTTTGTGTGTCGATGCTAGCCAAGGATGAAGAAGATGAATGGCTCTGTGTGTGACGGCAGTCACTGAAAGCTGCAGGCCATGTGTTAAACAGGCCAGTCAATAGAAATCTAATTGAGTGTGTGGAGCAAGGGGGTGCATGAGGGATAAGTTAATCAGAGGAGGGCTCTGCTTATAGAGACGCAAGAGTGAGCTACAGTGCTCTTCACAAATATTGGCACCCCTGGTAAACATTCTTCTTTATCATTTTGATCTTTCATTCAAAAATATTACCAAAAATCTAACCTTTCTGTAAAGAACAGTGATTGAACACAAACAAAAAAAACTCAATCTTATTAGGAAATAATTTTCTCAAATCTTTGTGTGCCACAATTGTTGGCAGCCCTTCATTTAATACTTTGTGCAGCCTCCCTTTGTAAAGATAACAGCTCTGAGTCTTCACTTGTAATGCTTAATGAGACTGGAGAACACATGGCATATGGAACATATAAAGGATCTCAGACCATTCCCCCATACAGAATCTCTCCAGAGGTTAATTTTATTTCTGCTGGTGCTTGATGGAGTCTGGGATACCATGTATCCGAATGAATTGTTTGGGGCCTTTGCAAGAAAAAGAGGCCCACAGTATCATAGATCCACCACCATTCTTCACAGTCAGAATGACTGTCCATCTGTCCACGCCAAACTCACCTCTGGTGTTTGTTGCCAAAAAACTCTATTTTGGCCTCATCTGACCATAGAAGACAGTCCCACTGAAAGTTCCAGCAACATTTGGCAAACTGGCCTGAATTTGGCCTGTTTTTCATCTCATATGTATTCCGCAGTGAATCAGGAAGTCATGGCTGACCCTTTAAAGTGTTCCTAATTGCTCAGGTGAACTTAAAACAGAGTTTTTTTCCTTTAGTAAGATTTTACTCTTAAGAAATCCAAGGGGTGCCAGATTTAGTTTTTTCTTTGTCGTTATACCTTAAATAAAGGTTAGATTTTTGCTAATATTTTGAATGAAAAATCAAAAGGATAAGTAATTAAGAATATTTTTTGTAGCTCATTTTGCTCATGATTACCAGGGGTGCCAATATTTGTGGAGGGCACTGTATGGCCTGTACTGTCCAGTCCACACTCTGCGCATCTGCACCTGATCTGTATATGTGTTTCCTTCCCTCAGCCTGTGTTTACCCCATATTCTCAAATTGATTAAGCACACTTATGTGCTTCCACTGCTTGAACTTTTTTTTTCCCTATACTTTTCATCTAGTTCTCACTCAGCCTCTTGTGCTATTTGTCTTCTTGTCCAGTTTACTGTCAGTGCATTTGACCTTTGGCATACAATGTGAATGCATGAATACACCATGATTTTAATCTGCAAACACCGTATGTATTTACACATGTGCCTAACTGACCTCCGCAGCATCACGTCTATGCACTGAATAAGCAGTCTTTGACAAAGGTGTTGGATTAATTGCTTGAAAATAGGATTGCTTGAGTAATATGCCATCATTTAAGGATGTTTGACAGCCCTGGTGCAGCTGGTTTAGACAGTGATTACTCTTGTCTGAGGGAGAGTGGGTTTGTGGGGTGGAAAAGTTTAAAAAAATAAATAAATAAATACATAAAAAAATAAATAAATAAAGATTTGTGCCTGAGCTGCCACAGTGCTGCCTACCTCACTGCTCACGCTGTTCTAGAGAGATATAGAGGTGTGTCTGGGGAAATAACAGATGCCACCCAGATGATGATGTGATGCTAGCTGGATGAATTGTCTTGGCACAGCTTTCAAAAGAACAAGAAAACTTCACACCTGCACATCCTGCCAGAGGTATGGCTTTGCCCTCTCTTTGCACAGGAAATGCGGGTTTTTGCAGCACTCCCATCTGTCCACTGAGTGCACTGGCCAGTTACAGGAAGTTCAGTTGAAGAAGAGAAGATTACTGTCAGCTAAATGTAAAATCCCAGTTATCTAAACAGCCAAGAAGTGCAGTTTTACATATTGTATATAAAACTGATGGACTTTGTATCTCCAAAATGGCAACTTTATGGGGAAAGGAGAAGTGAGTTAATGTAAAACTTTTATCAAGCAGTTTTGGACCATTTTTATTTGTCCAGTATTCATGAACTTTTTGCGCAATGTAAAGGGCATCACTTTCAAATGAGATGAAAAACAGAGATAGAAATGCAAGATTTTGTTCAGACAGCAACTACAGACAGTTATGCTTGGAAAGTAATGTAGATTTAGACAACTATTATTGTCTGGAGCATTATTTCAATAAACGATATCGTCATGATCTGTTGTGTTTGGTAATATAATTACAATCTAAGCTGGCTTCAAGTATTCCTTAATGTAGTAATATAGTAATAATTTAGCATACAAGTTTGGCAGGTAAAACAGTGTGGTTGGTATTACAATTACAATCTAGCCTGGCTTCAAATATTACTTAATCTAGTAATATAGTGATAATTTAGAATAAAAATTTGTAGTATTTTGGTTTTTTAAGCTGAGAACATTAAGTTAACAGTGTTAAGAATGTTACAAGCAGCCAGTACAGAAAATTAACAGATTGTTAGCAAAGGTGACCCCCCTAATTTATCTTGTGACATCCAGGTTTGAGAACCTAACTATACAAGAAAAGTCACTTGTTCATATCACATGTTTGTAGATTATGGAACTGTAGGACTAAGTCTGGAAAAGTCTTAAAAGAGCTGCTTGTTCTTGGATCTGACCATCTTAAAGCAAATGACTTAAAAATGCCCAACTTTGCAGCAAAATATTTACAGTGCTTTCTCTGTAAGCTTGTGCAACCTAGCTTTAGTATTCTGTTTCCTGTGAAATGTGTTGGTGGTTAACATTACACCTGCTTGCCACCTTCTCTGTGACCAGTTTTTTCCTGCCATCGTTAAAAAAAAATGTGTGCAGTAACCTCTTTTGCTGGTGTGCTGGTATAGCACCACTTTTGGTGTAGCCCTGAAAGTTGATTGAAAACTGCTGATGGTAGTCGTATTGAACTTCATACCATATTATGCTGTAAACGGATGCTAATAATTCAACCATAATGGCAGTGAATCACATAGTTTATTGTTATGTGATATCAGGAAGTGCAGGATGTTTTCCAATCAAGCGCATTGCTTTTTAATCTCATTTGTGCCTTTGTTAGTTGCAGTAGCTTGTATGAACACACTGAATGTTAGAATGGCTCTCATAGGATTTTAGATGCAGATGCTCTGAACCTGATGGATTTGCTTGTTGACTTGTCGACAAACTGTAATATGCTTAAATCCTACCAGGCTCCTGCATGTTGACTGTATGATGTCTGGGGCTGTCACTATTGATTATATTAGCAATCTGCAGATTATTTTGATAATTTTTCGAGTTTTTAAAATGGCCAAACAACAGAAATGCAGTGTTTGAACAATAACAAACCATGTAGAGACTTGCTGAGGTTCCTGATTACATCAATAGAAAATGATCAACAAAGAAGCCTTTAAAAAGACTTCCTAGATTTCAGTATATACAAATGCAGTTTGGAAAAATGCATGTTTAAATGGTAATTTCCATTCTAAGTTGAAAATATGTTTTCCTGTAAAGTTAATTGTGGTTCAGCAGTAACAGTATGCTTTATGATCATGCAGATTTGTTTGAGTAATTGTGACAGCCCTAGTAATGTGCTACATGTGTTCTGTACTAACACTTACATGTGCAAGCGTTTGTCCTAACACGCTCTCCCATGCAGCGGCTCACCGCGTCTGCAGGAGCTCAGCAGTTTGTGTTTAAGTCTTATGTGCTGATATTATTTAATGTAGCTCCTGACTTTACCTCTTCCTCCTCCTCCTCCTTCTCAGGTTTTAGTGACAGTGGCATTTCCAGATGCAGAGAGGTTTACAGGCCAGCAGGGGACAGCAGTGAGAACGTGAATGGACACGAGGAGCTGATGGTCAGGCGGAGGGCCATAGAGCCAGGAGCCTCCTGTTCAACCCCACTGGACCATAATTCCCGCATTGCACCAGGCTTCACACCCCCCAGCTCGCGGACAGGGCGCAGGCCTATAGGTAACTGGGTGATTGACTGTGAGGAAATATAAAGATTTGTTATGACATTTTGCAGTGTATTTTTTTTTCTGTTTTTGACTGCAAATTATTCCTCCAAAAGAAAACTTTTTATTTAATGAAGTCATTTTGTACATCACTCACATGTAGCAAGGATGTTTTTGCAGAGTAAATTTAAACAGATCCTCACCCTGTAGCATTTAGTTATATATTGTAGTGGAATTTCAAATTACTGTCTAAACTCTGAAATTATACCCTGTTCTCCTGTGTTCATGACACGAACAGAAATGCATGTTGATAATCTATTAGTCTAACAAAGGTCTTAATACAGGTTTAAATAACTGTTTAAAACCATGTATCTATACTATTATATGATATGATATGATATGCTGTATTGATTGGCTTTAAAGGGTTATTTCAATATTTTATATGCAGTGTTTAGTCTAATAGGATTATGTTTTTGTAAATTTTACATATTTTCATAAAATATAAATGTTCTGTTTGTCACAATTTGATCATTTTTCATGACTGAAAGAATGGGCCAATATCATAGCAAATCACTATTTAAATTACCTCCTTACACGCAAACATAAAACACAGTTAGTGTGTGCTGCCTAAGAGAACCCAATACATTTCCATTGGAAGCCGTTCTGTATTAGAACAATATACACACACGTGCATGGCAACACAATACACACAAGTCAAATAATAATAATATATGGCTTGTGGATATATGTAATTTGATATGTGACTTGATTTATGAGAGAAAGGACAGTCCAAAGTTATTTTGGGATGTTTCCCTTGTTTTTCCAACTTTGAATGAAATATATAGGGTTCATTAAAATGGTCAAATATTGATTGGATATGCGGAGCCTTAAAGTGGCCTGAAGCAAAATTTGAGCTATTCCTGTGAAACAGAAAAAAATTGAGGGCCAGTTTCTTTATTGTACTTTTTAAAGTCTGTGGGCGTGAAAGGGTTAATATCTGAGATTGGAAAACTCTTCTGCAGATCTGTAACTCATTCTGCAGGTATTACGATAAGAGAACACACATTCAAACTCCTAAATAAAATTGGCTTTAGGTGTGTTTTGTGTTAGCAGGCTTATTTTGGCTGGTCATTAAACCTTTTATTTCACTTTGTATGCACACATTGCTGATAAAACCTAAGCGAGATTGACCCCTGCTCTCGCTGTCATTGAGAGGAGTCATCTTACAAGCATAATTCTGTCAAGGCTTCCACTTAACTAAGCTTGCTGTTAGAACAGCGATTTCGCTCTGATTTAATGTTTATTTGAATTGCCTGAAATGTTCTTCCGTCTCCATCCACTTGCATAAGCAAGCCGGGACGGAAACCCAAACACACACAGGAAGACAGTAGTAGCTTCAGGCTGCAGTGCAATGTTACTGCGCTTTTTATATGTTTGTTTATGCATGAAACGTAAACACTGCAACACTTTTTGATGGGAACACATATATTGGTTTATAGGATGATTAAGGTTGTAAACTAGATTAAGATTTGTCGCCTCAGAATTGAGCCAGAAAAAAATCCACAGTATGATGCAGAAGATAAGCCTGAAAAAAATTGGGTATAATGCAGAAGTTTGTAAAAATGCTTGATATGATACAGAAGAAAAGCCTGAAAAATGCACAGTATGATGTAAAATAAATGCTTGAAAAAAAATGCACTGTATGACGCAAAAAATATCCTGTGAAAATTAATTTGAATAACATAGAAGAACAGAAACTACCTTGCTTCCATATACGTGTTATGACGTTGGTAGCATTGCTGAAAGTGTAATGAATCATCTGAATTTCCTCTTTCTGACACTGTTCACTAGTATTTCCTGTCACTCTGTTCAGTGACTCTAATGAAGGAGAGAGGTTAGGATTATACGCCTACGCTTCTCACATCTTCTGCGAAGGGACTTCATATTAAAAAAGACTAATGAACCACACACAGTCCCACACATGCAGCCACCACTTACTCATTCTCACTTCCCTGTGTTCTGCAGGATTAATCTCTGAGGAGAACTTGCGTCTGCACTCCCTTGATGCTGGCTTTGGGTCTGGTGGCCATGGAAACGCAGGTAGGAGCCCCAGTTGAAATCAATAAGTGTTGAGCCTCACTGCTGCCTTTCTCTGGCATTCATTTACTCAGCTGTGTGGACAAACAAATAAGCATCCCTCATCTGTCCCTCCTTCTGTCCTTCCAGCAGGCCACAGGCCTGGCTCTGCCGATTACAGCCGCAACACCTCCAGCAGCAGCTCTCCTGTCAACTCCAAAGGTGCGTGAGCTCCCCCCTACGAAAGCCCACTCATGTACTATTGTTCTCATATGACAGGTCAACTTCACTGTATCTGCCGCTGGATCTCTGCATGTGACACACATCTACATGCTTAATTGAAGTTTTTTCAGCCAAGAAAAATAAACTCTTTTCAGCCACATTAGTTTTATAACATTGTGTAACATTACGTCCACAGTCTAACGACAGGCTTGCTGTCTGTGGAACAATGTCAACCAATCGTGTGGCAGCAGTGCATAAAATCATGCAGATATGAGCCAGCAGCTTTAGGTAATGTTCACATAAACCATCAGAATGGGGAAAACGTGATATCAGAGATGTCATGGGGAAAACATAAGGAGCTTTTCAAATAATTATGTACTTATTTAGTTATTTATTTGTTTGTTTGTTTGTTTGTTTTTATTGGCCTAAATAAAAGCAAAAGGGCTGCAGCCCAGTGCAAGAAAGATATGCTTGCAGTTATGTAGCTGTGGTAGCTGTAAGTATTTAATTAATTTTATTTTGTACTTTGCCCAGTAATAAGTAGAGATTTGTCATTTTGTTTTTTAAAGAGGTTACAGTGATGCTCTTTTAATCAGCAGGAAAATACATGTAAGATACACAGCAAAACAAAAACATTAAATATACAAAATAAGGGTCTGTACTTGCTGCACATCCAGTCATAGACACACTGAAAATGTATATTTAATTCATAATTTCACATCATGGTGATATCCTACAACTGTATCACACATTATTTGTCCATATGGTGCAGTTCTAGTGCTTCCTTTTAGTTAAAGAAATAAGAATTTGTGTCATGTAGGTATGTGAATCTACATCAGTCAGTAGTCAGTTTAGTTTAGTTAACATTATCTGTCCCAACAGTACAGACTGTGCAGACTGCGATTGATTGTAATACTACTGGCACGGAGATTAAGCAAGCCATATGAGACACCTCAAATGATGGTGAATGTATCACATTAGTCATAACAAAAAGACCAGGATAAAATCATTTTTGGAGAAAAACCAGCATCATGTACTAGATGGAAAACATTTGTTGACATCTAGTCAGTACACAACAGCTTTGTGGCTGTAGCATCAAATGCAACACATATGGGGCAGGGTGGCCCTCTGAGAGCACTGCCACACATTTACTCATAGATGCACACAAGCACTTAATTCAGCAACCCTCCTAGCATCATGTCCCCTAGCAATGAGGTGATTTAGTTCACGCATTCGAGATGTAGTACTGTTTTGCTTTTGTCAGTATCAACATGCTCATACACATCTTACTGAGTCAGAATTGTTCACAGCCAACCAGATGTCTGAAGCCTTTAATGCCTCTAAAAGCTCCCTCAAAAAAGTTATTAAATGAAATAGTTCTGAATATGCTGCCTGATTCCTGAGACATTGTTTTATGATAGTTTTGTGATTATCAGCATTACACATAAAACACTTGAGACGTGTAGGTTCACTGGTGGTTTTTGATAGTAAATAAAATGGCTGTATTTGGTTCATAGACATGGCAACCCCTGGTTCCTATCACCACCACTGTAAATCAGTCCGATAAAAGTCTCTGCAGTGAACTATTTCATATCAGACCACTCTGAATGATTGTTTCCATCTCAGTGATATATCAACTTTTTTGAAACATTGATGGAATTCCCCTGTATAAAATTGCATTGCAAGGAAAAATTCAAATTGCAGAAATACAAGGTTACTATTGAACCATCAATGAACACCTCTGAAATTGTCAGCAGGTCTGTTTTCTTGCCCTGTCAACACTCCATGTGCAGATTGTCTTTTTGAAGACAGTTGTATTTAAGTAATATAATTAAAGTGTATGTTTCTTTTAACTTCTGACTAGGTAGATGACGTAGTTTTGAGACAAGGCCCTTCCTTCCTTGTTAGTCGTGTCTCATTCTCTCCTCAATCTCACCATTTTGTTGATTCTGATGGTTTTTGTTTGTGTGTTTCTCTCCTGTAGGTTCTCTGGAGCGTCTGCAGGGCCGTTCTGCCAGTCTCTCCAGTGATGATGTAGTCGGGCTCAGTCATGAGGGCTCTCGTCTCAGTCAGTCCTCTCTGCTGCCTCGGAGCTCCACCTTACCCTGTGAGACTCCGCCCACTCAGCGCTCCAAGCTACGCCCTGGCCCCGTCCGCCCTGCCTCACCGGGCAGTGAGATGGTCACCCTGGAGGAGTTCTTGCAGGAGAGCAATGCCCTCTCACCCCCCACTGTAAGAACACACACAGGAAAACAAAAATGTTGATTGGTGCAAAATTAGAAAGGCCTGTGTTAAGAAGTGATAATACACTCATTTAAGCACAGCTTAGTCAGTGTTTATTAGTAATTTATCTGTCACCACAAACCGCAATTGCTACTATTGATAATAATGAAATAATCATTATTATTATTATTATAATTATTATTATTATTATTATTGGTAGTAGTAGTATTGTGTTTTATTAAATGTTGTAATATTCAATTAAATAAATAAACCTACATTTTAACAGTAGAAATATGCTGTTCTTACTGATTTAGCATCGTTCCTGCTGAACGTGAGTGCAGTTATTGAGAGTGAAGTGTTGACAAAATGTCCGGTTGATTCTGCAGATTCATGCATTTGCATTCATTTAGCATGTATCAACCACATATCCTGAATGGTTGAAACCACTAAGGCAGATTTAACCGTCAAATTATTTGCTTAATAACTAAATTAGTTATGGCTAAATGTTCAGTGTCAGCTTTTCATTTGAATGGTGTATTCGGTCTTCTTTAAGCTTTTAAGATGTAGTAAAATTTCTTTTTGAATACTATGCTTTTACCCATCAGAGGCAGCACATGAATTTGTTGTAGCATAAAAGTTAACCTTTACACTGAAATCACAACTAGGCAAACTTAGGCTCGCCTCAGTTGTTATGTACATCTCTTGTTGCCAGGATCTCATTACCTATAGAATGAAACGTCTGCAATTTATGGCGTCTTCAAGGTGGCATTTTATTTACACAGTTAAGGGCCATTAGAGACCCTTACGGGTTAAGATGGTTCAGCCATAAATAACGATGGCTCTGCAGCAGGTTGCAATTTTTGCATGGAAAATTACCCTGTCTCAGATCTGCCTCAGGTCCTCAAGTCAACAGTGAGATCCCCCCCCGCCCCCCAACATCTTTCGTCTAATCTAGCTTGTGGTTTCTGGTAGTTGTGGCTGCACCTTGCCAGCACAGCTATGGCATAGCAACAGCCTCCCCTGGACTTTTGAAGTCAACCTAAAATCAATAGTGTCTACCTTTTTATGGCCTTTCTTATTGATTCCATCTGATATTTGATGTTTGTTTTGAGCTGCTCTGCCTGGCTTGGGCTTAAAGTGCATTGATGTTTTGTAATTGATGCCCATTAAGCTAATGTCACTAAGTGCTAAAAAAATGTTTACTACACAGAAGGCATATGCTCAGACGTCACTGTGGAAGCCAGCACATACTCTGGGGTTTATTATCTACCACCATCTCTCTCTGCATAGCTCTGCATGTGTCTCTCTCTCTCTCTCTCTCTCTCTCTCTCTCTCTCTCTCTCTCTCTCTCACAGCCTGCCCAATGTGTCAGTGTAAAATACTTAACAAGCAACCTTCACAGTGCTTTATGTTTGTGCCCTGAAGCACATGAAACAGAATGAGTTTCTGGCCCTATGTTTATTGTAATCAAACAAGCTGCTACTATAGTTCTGGCCCGAGGCTGTGTATGTGACTACTTTTTAAATATTTGTCTCTTTTTCTCCTAGGTGCAGACAGGGAGTCGGGAGGACCTGATGACAGACTATTTCACCAGAGCAGGCCGACCAGCACCTCTGAGGGACGGAGCCAAAACCCCTACCAGTTATGTCACCCCAACGGTCAAAACGACCTCATCTGGAGGAGACGGGCGAGCCTCCAAACCAGGACACAGCGTCAAGCCCAGCATCCGGCCTTCGGAGGTTTCCACACCCCTTTCTCAGTCTCAAACACTCCCTAACCGTGGAACCGGGAGCCGTCCAACATCTCTGCAGCACTCGGGACCTCGCGGAGGGGCTAATTTAAGTAGCAGCAGCAGCTTGAGTCGCACCTTCAGCCTGGCTTCAGCTGACCTCCTCCACTCTAACGGTCCTGATAGCTACCGGGCTGAGGGGGGATCACCTAGTCAGGCTGAAGGGTTCGTGAGGAGACAACGGGACAGGCCGCAGTCTGCCAGGCCCGTGAGCGGAGACCCCACCCACCTGTCGGTGGACCCCCGCCGCTTTTCTCTGGCCCAGTCAAGAGATGAGCTGCTCTTGCCTGCATCCTCCGCCTCCCCTCAGGCAGACTGGGGCTATGGAGGCCGTCCCAGTGCAGCAGGAACCCGTTCCGGGACAGCTCAGGGACGTTCAGTCCCACAGCACCACCGCGGCGAGGTGGCACTAGTGACCCCCGTGCGGGCCGTCTCCAGTCTCAGGCTGGAGGAGGTGGAGGAGCACCGTGAGCCCAGGCACGCTGACCCTGTGCCACTAAAGAAGTCGGACTGTGGTGTAGAGGAGCGGCCTATCAGCACCCCGGCCTCCCCAGACCCTAACAACGACCCACAGACAGTGTGGTATGAGTATGGCTGCGTGTAACCCAGGTGGAGGAATCCCTCCCATAGGTGCCTGGACATTGTACAATTAGGTCAAGCAATCTCACATTCTTAATCAGGGCTTTAAGGAATGGTGACATCCACCTAAAGGAGTTGGTTAAGGTGAGGTCAGTCTGTCAGCACTCCCTCAGAAGGCTGCAGCCAACTCTGTCTACAGTGCATTTGGGGGCAGCGATGGTTGTTGACTTTTGACTGATAAAGCTACAAAGCAAATAGATTTAAAAGCCCCAAAAAGCATTTGTGAAACCTACTGAACCAACAATGCAGAGTGTGCTCGCCTGCTTTCTATAAACCTCCCAGTTCTACGTTCAGGACTCATACAAAGCTTGGCGAAGGAATGTGTTTGGGAATGGACATAGCTTAAGAATGTATTCCTTTTTTTTCCCCCCTCCTCTCCTCTATTGAACACCATTGATTTCCAGCAGCTCTCTGCGGACGGCAGCGCCGGCCAGTTTGAGTTCTATTCTGAATGCGCAAATCAAACATTGGGCTTTTGCGTGAGGGACCGCTCCCTGGATAATCACAGAGTAATTACAGTATCCATCTTTAGGAAGCAGAGGGGACAGCGCAAGTCCATCATTCAGACAGCCTCGGTGGGATCGGTTACTGGAAGTGGCTCCTCGCTCTCGCTCCCTGCTGACAAGCCTAGCGCTCAACTCCTTTCCGCTGCTGTGGGTTACCACCTATTTGCTAAGGGACCAGGCTTTTGGCTGTGCCTGTTGCTCGAGGGCACACAAATGGAAGATAATGAACTAGAGGGTGAAAATGATAGAGTAAGAGAGAGAGAGGGAAGTAAAAGAGCGTTGAGATGAAGTTGGTGGTGAAGAATAAAGAGAGCAGGACTTTCTACACTGAAGTGACATGTTGACTTGGAGAGGAAAACTTCTCGGGTTTTTTTCATTTATGTTTGAGGCATTTCTAGTCCTCAGGGGCATTTCTAGACATGGTGTGTCATCAGACAATTAACTTTTCAACACCTGTGGGTTTTATATATGTAAATACATTGATAGAGCACTATGCCAGCAGGAGAAGGCAGAGTCTAAACTGGAGTCTTAACACTGGACACATTTGCCCTTTCTTTGCTTAGGTTTGAGTTTGTTTTAGTGTTGGATTAGTCTTTACTGTACCAGTAACACTGCAAAACTTCCCATGTTCTGAAGTGCTGGTTTATTTATTGTCTCCCAAATTAAATGACACTGTGTGTGTTTGTGCATGTTTGCCCCCAAATCACTTTGTTGTGTAGTATATGGAGCGTGCAGCTGAGTTGTGACAAACACGGCACAGTGTAATTAAAGCAGGGAAGCCCCAGTGCACACAGCAATTTGTAGACTGTGTTGTTTGCATATGTTTAGAACAGCACCCTGATCTGTCCTGTTTCATTAGTGGCACTCCTCATTAGCATGGCTTTTGCCATGTTGTAAAAGCTTAAGAGGGGAAAAAAGAAGGAATCGCTCCCATAGGTGCTCGGACATTGTACAAATAATTAAATTAGTCTAACCTTTCATGTGTTGAGGAAAAAGCTCTCTGGCTTACGTGTTGTTTGTCAGGGCAGTAAGGTGAGGTGCTTCTTGTTCTCCCTCAGCAAACCCACATGAGTGCACTTATTGTAATCGGGGCACAATCTGAACACACTTTCGGTTACCAATGTAAAAACATGCACCATTTTCATACACTACTTCACAAAGACCTTGATTGTTACCTGTGAAGTTTTTTTTATTTGATTTTTTAATTTTTTTTTTTTTTTTTGGAGTAGTCGCCCAATATGATGTGTGTGTGTGTGTGTGTGTGTGTGTGTGATCACTGTGATTGATACGAGTGTCTCTGTCCTTTTGTATAGAAGAAGCTGTTGTCCAAAAACTGAACTCTTTGTAATAAAGACTTTCCGAATTAACTGTTTTCGTTCTTCACATATCGAGCTAACTCTTGAAAATAGAGTCCTCTTCCACTCTTTACTATCAATACATAACAGGTGTGTAGGCTAGGATTTGTATGCATGCTAAATAAAAATCCCATTTTTAAAACTAGATTAAAAATGAGTTAAATACAATTGTAAAGCAAGCAGCCTAATTATTATTAATATATGATTGACTTGTGGGTTAGTATTCATAGGCATGCTCAATATAAATCAAATTTTGTATAGCAATTTTTAAAAAACTTGATAGAAAAACAGGTTGAATATGACTAGAAAAACATGATGATTGCAGAAGAGTGAGTGGTTGTATTTAAAGTTGATGTGTGTCAAAAAGAGTTGACCACAGGCTGGGATTCAGAACGGCCAATGCCTAAATTATCCATGTTAATGGACTGCGGACACGCATTAGAACATAAAACGTACCCAGAAAAGCACTGAACCCCAGTGATAGACTGTTACAGTTTATGTATTAGGAGTCTGGCTAGGACAGTCTACATTCACCTAATAAGTGATTCTGGATAAGAGCATCTGCTTAATAGCCTACCTCAGTGTTTTAACGGCAGTCATGCCAACATTTGGCAGGCGCTAGCAGCGTAAACATCCGCTACTAAAGACAGAGGAGTTTACAGAAGGCGATTCTGACTAAAGATGCCCCCGCAAGTAACTATTTCTTGCATTGTTTTTTGGGGTTATGGAGTGAATTTATATCAGAAAGGAGAAGTTTTCATCAATATCAAGTCTTTGGTAGCAGCAGCTGCAAAATGCAAGAAAATCCAGTGATTTGGTTGAGCTGGATCAGAACTCCACCCCTGAACCAGTGGATGTGTGATGGGAGGAGCTGAATATCAATCCAACTCCACCCTCAGGACTTTTCATTCTGCTGTGACAGGTATCTAGCCAGCTGTCAGCAGCAGTGCAGTGCAGAGGCTAGCACCTCCCAGCACTGGCACTGCAAGGCTCGGCTCTGGCCCAGAGTCCCTGCTCTCCCCGCTCCATCCAAAATAAGGAGCTAGGAGAGAGGTACCTCCTCAGTGGTAAAGTCCACACTTTGGTGAGGTCAGCATTGTGCAGACCTATAGGGCAAGAAACCTTCAAGGGGCTTGGTTTAAACACATGCATTTGGTACAGACTTGTGTGATGTGCAAGCTCTGCATGTGTTGCATGAAGCATGTTGGTCGTAATTGCATATATAGAGTATCTGAATTCAGAATAGGAGCATAATGCAGTTAAATTAATTCACAAATGGAATTTTAGGTAACAGCCCGCTATTGAGTCTGGATTCACTTTGTCAATCAGATTGCAAGATTTCAGTAGCCAATCAGATAACATGGTTAGACCAGCCAATCAGATCACAGGATTCAAACAAGCCAGTCAGTTCCCAGAATTTCAGGAGCCAATCAGATCACAAGATTCAAGAAGTCAGTCAGATCTCAGGACGGAACCAGCCAATCAGATCACAGGATTTAACCAGCTAATGAGATTGCAGGATTTCTATAGCCAGTCATGTCTGCTTCAAACAGCCAATTAGAAAGCAAGATTCTAATAGCCAATCACAGCCAATGGGGGGACTGGGGGATACAGTCAGATGGTAATAAGCTGATACACTGTAAGAAATGCTGCAACTTTTTAACTAAAAATGTATGTTTCCTGGTTAACTAAAAAAAATTGAGGTCATTAAACCACTATTAACAGAAAAATAATTGTTTTACATTTGTTGACTTATTATTTGAAGTTCATTAAACTTTGTTTTATTTAAAAAGTTGCATATTTTCTTTTACAGTGTAAACACTCAATATGGGTAAAATATAATTTAAAATAAAAGGGTAGATACTACATTCTGTTTCTTCAAATTACAGTGACATTCTTTACAAGTCTGAGCACAAATATCATACATCTTATTTTGCGTTAAGCTTAGAATTGCGCACAAGCCTAATGAATACATTTACAAATATAAATGAGATTTCAGATTTACTACTGATTGGAAGAAACTCCTCAAATTCAATAACAGCGCTATAAAGAATGAGGACCACATTCGATTTTAGTATCATCAGATACGCTCTTATGTGGAGAAAATACTGTCATATGTCATTTTCTTCTGAACCCTCTCAAGACGGCGGAAATGGGAGACATGAGACAAGTGACAAATAAGGCTTTTCTCGTGTACGTCTAAGGTGAAACTGCTCGCAATGGAAATAATAGCCAACCCCCCACCCTGGCTGAAGTGACATGTTCTAGCCTAATGTTCTGCTGTAGCTGAAGCGGAATGAAGCGCCAGTCACTTCACTTCTCCTCAGACCACGTGTTGGAGGGCAGGCTGAGCAGAGGAGGTCCAGAACTGCGCTTTCTTCTGCTCCATCAGTCTCTCAGCCTGTGGCTCCGTGTCGAGCCCTGAATTGATGGCTTCACTGGCGTTTTTATTGCCTGCTCGCGCTTCCCGGAACAACCGCGAAATGTTATCTCTCCAGTTCTGAGCCGCGCTGATGATGTGTGCTCGTACAATTTGGCTGGAAGCTGAGAGATGATGATGATGATGGTGATGGTGAAGGAGAAAGTGCTCTCGCTGTGAGGACTGTTGGACTAGTTGCGTTTCGCCTGTGCTAAGACTCCACGCGACAGGACGACCGTTAGGAAAACACAGAAGGTAAAATAAATAAATAAATAAATTCGTCTCTTTTTTAGTTTTATATTGTATGTATGTATATATTTTCACTGGGGAATAACACAGATAAATCAATTACTTTTCTGTTAAGCTAATAAACTGTTCATGCTTCAGTGGAACTGACTTCGCTTCCTCCCACCAACAAGGGGTCGTTAGTGGCACAATGAGTCTTTACAGGGATAGATAGTGCTATTTTTTGTCTTTTGTTATGAACTGTAGAAGCTTTTAATTATTACAGGAAAGCTAAAGGACTTTTTAGATATGTATAATAAATTGAAGGCTACCACGTGTATTACCTCTCCACGTAACTGCTACGCTACTTATTCAGAGTCTTGTGTGAAAATCAAAATCGATATCATTTCCTTTGTAACTGGTGGTGAAACTGCAGCTAGATAAATGTAATAGAGCTGAGCTAATGACGGCGTTTTCGACGTACTTGCTGTTGCTTATAGCTTTACTGAAGCTATTTTACAAGGTGATTCCTAAAGTTTCTAAAATGTCAAAAGAAAACTATATGTCCCTCAGAACTGATGTTCAAGGGGATAAAATGGCTTTTTAGAATATTTGTATACAGGGTTGGGCAAAATACTTTAAAAATGTAGTGATGCCTGAATATTGAATACATCATCTTAAATGTGTTCCAATACATAAAAAGTAACATATTCAGACTACATTTATAAGACATTTATTATACATTTACAGTAAATCTTGGACAGGCACATTGGATTATTATTATTATTTTTTAATTCACACTGTTCTTCGCTCTTCATGTAATGATTCTGTTCCTTGAAACACGTTTCATGAAAATTTACTTAACGTTTAAATTGAATTTCTATAAAATTCTTAACTTTTTTTTCCTCACACTGCTTCAGTCCACTGCTGTGCCCACAACCCCCTGAACATGAGTCCAGTACAACACAAATTTACTGAGGAGATGATCGATTAGTTTGATCGTAACTTTAAAAGAGCTCAGTAACACTGAGATTAATTAACTTTCTCATCACAGTGGTTTATCAGTCTACTCAGGCTTTAGCAGGAACTTCAGTGTTTGAAAAGAAGCCATTAATTGAGTTTCTCTTTAGAGTTTGTCTAATGAGCATGTTTGCTATCTGCCTTGCGCTGATTCTAAATAGTTAATAAATGAGCATTGATGGTGCTTCTTTTAAAGATTATATATTTTTTTTAACTTAGAGGGTAAGTATTCTAAAAGTATTTTCTAAAAAATGTAAAAGGTAAGTGCATTCTGAACACTGCCTTTACAAAATGAAACTTGGACTGAATACAGATACTTAATTTCCGTATTCTGAATATTAGCCTACCTATACTTGTATTCCGTTACAGCCAAACTCTGTTTGTATATCCATATTGAATATTAGACACTAATAAGGTGAATCACTCCTATATTCTTAACTACATTTACTTTTGTTCATTAAGCACAGCCTGATTCTGACAACTTAAAAATACTACTGCATTCTTTATTAAGGAACTACCATTATGGGAATTGTAGGCAGATGTCGATATCCACCATTTGTCATAGGGTTGTACAAATCATATGAATATTTTGCAGATATTTGCTTAAAACAGCTATACACATCCGAACAGATTTCAAACCAGTATTTAATGACACATCTGTTGCACTCTAGTTTAGACAGCGCTGTGCTAAAATATTTGCATTTTATTCATTTTACTGTATTTGTAACCCTCTACAAATAAATGCTGCTCTGTAATGCTAATCCAAGTAGATTTAATCCCAATTTCTACATTTTATGAATGTTATGTATCAAACCCAGCTAAACCCAACTAAACATTTTAATAATAATAATGTTAATACCTTTTATTTATAGAGCACTTTTCATACTGGTGGCAGCTCAACATACTTTACAGACACAGTAGAAGGACAAACAGTAATAGAAGAAACTATACGCATTAGTTTCAAATCACATAAGTCAATGACACTGATCAAAGACAAATACCAAGAGACACAGAGTTGTAATCAAACATTAAGTTAAAGAGATTCATTTTAAATGTTTCTTAAACGTGAGCACTGAGCTTGACTGTCTAATAAAAGGTGGAGTTGAGTTCTACAGTTTAGAAGCAGGATAAAAAGGGTTCTCCACTTTTTATGTATTTTGTGAAAGGTATTTGTAGAAGCCAGTATTTTCAGATCTAACACGTGGAGCATAGACAGACAGACTTCCTGTGACATAAGCCGGTGCTTTAAGTTATTTAGACCCTTGAAAACTAAAAGAAGAACTTTGAAATCTATCAACGGTTCTTTTAAAATGGGAGCGATATGAGCTCTTTTTTTTCTTTTTGTTAGGATCTTTGCTGCTGCATTTTGTACAAGTTGTAGAGGATGCATTGTTTTCTTTGGAAGCCCGGTAAGAAGAGCATTACAGTAATTAATTCTGCTTGTAACAAATGCATGAACAGGTTTCTCTGCGTCAAAATAGAAAAGGCAGAAATTTAGCAATATTTCTCAAAAGCTACTTAAGTATACGCCAACAAATAAATACACCAAGAAATAATAGTTTGATATATCATATGCCGATATATTTTTAAGCAAACGTCTGCCGATACTGATATGATGCTGATATCCTCTCGAAAAATTGAATAATCACATTGCTTCTTTCTTGCTGTGAACATAACGAGGCCTGGCTGTGATGCATCAGTGAGAGAAGTGTGATGATTCCTTTGTAGGATATTTGGGTCTCCCTCACAACGTGACTGCGCTTTCTTGTGGCTCTTTAGTGTGTGGAATGTTGGTTTGGCTGTGATCAGACTGCTGCCCTCAGGCCACACTGCAGCCTGGTGCCGATGCCATTCACATTCTCTCGTGCCAGTGGTCCCAAATGAGCAGTTAAGGATAGACGACTGTGGACCACAGAATCAACAACAAGAGCCTTTTCCACCCCTCAATTACAAGACCAATATAACATTTCCAAACTCTAGATTAGAAAGATCTGGAACAGTAGGGATGCACTAAGTGTGCGCTTTGATATTTACATAGGGATCTTTTGTCTAGTGTTCTAATATTGATACAAAGAAGGCCAATTCAGTTTTCCATGACCGGGGCCCTTTAAAACATGGTATAAGTTGACCCACATGCTAAAACTTTGATTTGTGACATTTGTTTATCTATCTGAGAGCACAAAAGAATATATATTTGTGGGCGTTGTGGCTATTTTCTGTCATTGATGGAGACCGCCCGACGTTGTTTGGAAACTTTGATTAGAATCGCAATTAGCGAGGCGGATTCATGTGTGAAATAAGTCCCACTGTTTGCCTGGCCCTGCAACGCTATTATCTACTTCAAGCATGAGTAGGTTTTTCATAGTGTGGGTGAGGAAGTGATGCAATAGGCTATGGTGTCCTTCATGTTTGATGTGAACTCTGTTATGAGCTGTTCCAGCAAGCTTGATTAGACTCTGCAGCCAAGGACACAAGACTGTTATACTTGACAGCTTTTCATCACCTGGTCGGTAGGTTAGTAAAAGACTGTGGAGGTGTTGCTGATGACTGTTTTTCCATCAAGCTGATAAATTTGCTGTGTTACAATGGACTGCTACTCACAGACAAAATGCTTCTGCTTTTTTTAGGTGACCGGCAGCATTTGTCTCGGTGCAATTTGCAAATCCTCTTCATGACTGAGTCAGGTACTTGTAACTCCTTGTATTTATTAAGATTAATGAACCTAAGTACTGTATTGTCTTAGACTGACATATCAATATCAGAGCATTGGCTTTGTTGGCCATTCCATGATTAATCATGTTACTATTGTTATCATGATGAGTTCCTGCGATAGACATGTTCTTAAGGGCTGCAATGACCGAATGGGTCAAATTTTAAGATATTGCGCAGATCTGAGTGACGCAATTAAGATGAGTAGGAGTTGTTTCTAATATTAGTACTTTTTTTGGCGGGGGATTACAGAGTGACTTAACCACACTGTTTACAGAGCCAGTTTACACTATTTACATGCACAGCTCACCAACTACTCTATCCTCAACTATTAGTCTGTAAAAATGCTTTAATGCCTATTGACTGTTCTCAGGCACAGATGACTATTGTCAGTCTCAGAGCTGTGTGTAAAATGTGTGTGAAACATTGGGGGTTCTGTCACAACAAAGCTGCATCACCATAAGGAGCTTTTTAAATAATTAAATGTATACTTATTTGTTTTTGTAGGCATATATTGAAAAAGCTGTTCAAGTAATGCTGTTTTTAGCATTATAACAGCATTATTACATTATTACACACACAAATGAGCCAATAAGCTATTAGTATTTTATTACTACTCATTTTTATTTTGCATTTTGAACAATATTGTTTGGTATTTTATGTCGCATTTTATGTCCATATTGTGCAGGACTAGTTTGCACATAAGGAATTTGTTTTCCGTTATACAGTAGCTCATCATACACAGTGTGAAATGTTAAAGATAATGTGTCAAATATCTCAATGCTTATGTGCCTTGGTTGTGCATGAGCGTTATGGCGTGAGGAAACAAACAAGGGACGTGTATTCTAACTAGTTTTGATATTTGAGTGTCTGCAATAGTTAATGAATATTTATCCAGTGAACTGCAGGGAGGAAAACAACAACAACGCTACCTCTGCCTTCTCAGTCACATCCTCAATGTTTCCTCCCCTCTGCCTTTAAATAAACACATTAAAGAGAGACTGCATTATATGCAGTCAGGTGGGGGGCTATATTTTACTCTTGCTTTTGTTTTAGTGTTTGTTTTAGACGAGTTAGCTAGCTTGGTAGCTGCAATGTTATCTCCATGGCTAACTGCAGCTCCACACAAGTGACCCCACTGCTGCCAACTATGCAAATCAGTGTGTAGCACTATGTTGTGGCAAGTATATCGTTATCTGATTATATGTTCACTCTAGGAAAGTAGCGAAGCGGAATGTAATGTATACATACTCACAAATATGTCTTGTCAAAACATAAAATTTGTATTTTTCTGCATTTTATTAGCATATCTTCCATGTTTTTCCATGATGAGCCATGAATAACTGCCACATGGAATGGTTAATGAAGTACCCCAGTGCCCGTGCACATCCCTAAAAGAAACTCCCACAAATGGCCATTTTTTTTCCAGACCTACTGATGCACTGTCACAGTTGGTGGCATAGCTGCGTTAAACTAAATGAGGTGGTGATCACAGTCTAGGATTGCTGCGAAGAACTGAACCAGCAGCTCTTTGGCAGGTTGAACTGCAGCTGGCTGGGGAATTACATGTACTGTAGTTTTTGTTTTGTTTTGTTTTGTTTGTTTTTTTTTATCATTTATCAACAGTGTTGCTATTTATATCTCACTCTCACTTTGGGTGATTGTATTACCCAAGAACTTGAAAGACTCCACAGCCTTCACTGTTTTATCAGAGTTTAATCTGGAATTAGACTAGAGTAGCATACAGAGATGCATGCATACGTTTGAGAGTACTACTGTGTAATGCATGATTTAAAAATGCACAACATGACAAACAAGCTGCCGTAGAGATTTTGCATGTACAATGCCATCTTTAACTCTTGAAATTGCGTATCATAATACAAACTTGGAAGGTGCAATGATTTCATAATTACATTGGTGTCAGCAGATAAGTGACTGACAAACCAATGTTTTCTGATGTGTTTATTACTCTATCATGCTAATCCAGGTGGATCTAGTCCTAGTTTCTACATTTTATAAATGCTCATATATCAGCATCAGCAGCTATGTAGTTAAAAATGTTAATTATTGTCATTGTCTCACAGTTCCCTTATCGGTGCAACCTTCACACACTTGCAAACCCGTTCCACATGGTTTGCAAGTGTGTGAAGCTTATTTATTCATTATGTTTTTTTAAGAAGTAGTTAAAGCAGTCATTACAGTGATATCAGTACTGCAGCTGTTTACAAGTGTACATGAAATTGTTTTGCTTGTCTCTTTTAGATCTGATGAGAGATATCTGAGAGACAATAGACAAATCTGAGTGCTTAAAGCTGCACTCACCCCTTCCTCAGTCGGTGGGCATGGTTCAAACAGGAGCGTGCTATGACAGACATGTCTGAGGAGAAAATGAATTGTACCATCGAATACCAGATACACCAGTACCTTTTCCCCATAACTTACATCCTGGTCCTGCTGGTGGGTCTTCCTGCCAACGCATACTCGCTCTACCACGCATGGCTGCAGCTGAGGGCCCGCAATGAGCTAGGCGTCTACCTCTTCAACCTGACCGTGTCTGACCTGCTGTACCTGGCCTCACTGCCCTTCTGGCTGCAGTATTTCTTTCAGGTAGGTGCAGGGTTGAGAGGTGTAGTTACAAATGTATTCTGGTGCAGATTAATGATTACCTGTAAAAATAAATAAATAAATAAATTACTTGTAACTAATCCAAATGATTACTACATTAAAGTAGCATAATCTAAGTACTTTCTACTACTCTTGTTTTGCTTGATCAAGAACAGTTTAAAGGTGCAGTGAGAGAGATTTAGGGGGAACTATTAGCAGAAGTGAAATACATTGTACAAAACCACGTTTTCATTTGTGTATAATCACCTGTGAGTACTAATCTTTGTGTTTTCATTAGTTTAGAATGAGCCCTTCATATGTAGGGATTCTTCCAACAGAGGCTGCCATGCTGCGTCACCATGTTTTTACAGTAGCCCAGAACGGAAATGGAAAACACACACAAACTTCAGCAGTAAAATACAGGCACTTGCAGTAGACCTTTAAATATTACATGAATACTTGAAATATTCAAAATTTAAATGTCCCCGGGAGCTAGGTCTCTTAAACCTACCTATTTGCTTGAACTAGACACCTGGCATCCTTTCTTTGCATTATGTTCATTAATACTTGAGCTAAATTTCTGAGCTGCTAAGCTGACATTAGGTGTTTATATTGGTTGAACTGCAGCTGAAATGCAGCTAGTGCATTTGGTGACAATTGTGTAGAATTGAGGTGTAACCGCTGTCCCATAGGCCGCTGTTGGGATAGGAGAGTCAGAGTGCACGTTACGTGGCAGTGCATGCTGGGGACTGTAGTGCATGCTAATATTGACAGAAAATTGAATTGATTTGTGTTTGACACATGGACTCTTCAGACTGAATGCATTTTTATGTTGCAACTATTTTGTGCTCTGTGAAGTGACAGGCGGACAGTCGTGCTTACTGTTTAGCAAAGAAAAAAATGCAAAGGAGGGTAAATCCTCATAGTGAAAGAGGAAAAAACATAAATTAGCAAAACAAAATCAGGACAGGTAACAGCAGAAAACCTGATGGCCACTGTGGGTTCCACTACATGCTTGGAAAGGGAGGGGTGATGCCAATAAATTTTACACACTGCACCTTTAACCAAAAACAAAGTAAACAAAAATGTGTACATCCATTTTAAAAATGTCACAAAATATTTTGGCCCCATAAGCTTTATGTTCCTGTTTTGTCCTGCAAGGTAACCCACCCTTCAAACTGAATTCCCAGAAATGATGTGGCTTTCCAAGCTGAGTACGCTGCTTACATGTTTTAGTCTGATATGAGGCTATCACTAATAGCCACATACTCACGTTCTCAGATTCATTTTCTCTGATGGATAGGTTTTCATCCCAACTCTATTTTAAATGTCTAATGTCTACACTGTTGGACACATTTTAAAGACGTACACAGACAAGAAATCAGCATGAGCGATAAGAGTGGTTTTAAAGTAATCCTGCTGGTAATCACCCAATTTTATAATGTATATTAATCTGATTACTGTCATTTTCTGTAACTGTAATGGAAAACAATTACCTTGTTTGTATTGTGATTATGTAACGCTGTTGCATGTATTCCATCACCTCCCAACCCTGGGTAGGGGTGTTCAGAGACATGCTGTGTGTATTTGTATTTTGATTTTATTAGCATATCAAATTATTTATATTTGCATTTAGATAAAACCTCAGAGTGGTCTTGCTTTACTAGAAATGGGTGGGAAATATTTACTGCTTGGACTGAGGCTCAAGCATCCCAGAATTCTAATTAAATGCCTGTTAATTGTATCTTATTTTTCTTCATTTCAGCTTCCTTGATAGTTTTGTTAGTTATGGATGCATTTGACATTTTTTATGATTATAACCATGACATCGTTTTGTTTTCAAGTGTACTAGTTCAGCAGTATCTATAAAGTGAAGAGTTTCTATCATATCAGAGGAAAAAAGATTCAATATTCAAAGAAAATTCAGACAAAAAAAATGATTCTACTGCTCCGAGTAATATTTTTGTTTTGGGGAATTCTGCCTCTACTTGCAGGGCGATAACTGGCAGTATGGCGAGTTGGCGTGCAAGATATTTGGATTCTTACTCTATGAGAACATCTACATCAGCATCGGCTTCCTCTGCTGCATCTCCATCGACCGCTACCTGGCTGTGGTTTACCCGCTGCGCTTCTCGTCCCTCCGCACCATGAAGGCGGCGATGCTGGTCAGTGCTGTGGTGTGGCTCAAAGAACTGTGCGTAAGCATGGTCTTCATCCACCATAAGGAACTAAGTACAGACACATTCAACCATTCATTGTGCTTCGAGCACTACCCTATGCAGCCGTGGGAACGGGAGGTCAACCTTTACCGTTTCTTTGTGGGCTTCCTGTTCCCCCTGGGGATCTTATCCTTGTCATACTTCCGAGTGCTGCGGGCGGTGGGCAAGAGCGCTGGGACACAGACGACTCAGAAGACCCGAATCAAGAACTTGGTGACCAGCACCATCATCATCTTCCTGGTGTGCTTCTCACCGTATCATGTTTTCTTACTGGTGCGGACAGCCTTAGAGCATGACTGCTCCTTTACTGTGAAAATATTCAACCCCTACCACTTCTCTCTGCTGCTCACCAGCTTGAACTGTGTGGCCGACCCAGTGCTCTACTGCTTTGTAAGCGAAAGTGCCCAGCGAGGCATCCAACAGGTCGTGGAGACCTGCAGCCACACCCTCTGTTGCTGTAAATGCGAGGGCAGCTACAGCACGGACTCTAACGAAACTGTGGCACCCATCGACAATACTGTAGGAACCTCAGTGGTGACGCTGCTGCACCAGACCAAAACTGAAATCTGAATACCTGTGGTTTCTCCTAAGAATTTCCATCAAACCGCAGGGTGAAAGAGGAAATGTCAGGCCAAAGGTGTTTGTACGGGTTATTATGTTATGAGCACAAGTGTTATACCTTACTAATGCCTTGTGTATGTCTATATGCTCATCTTTGTTCCAAAAACCGATTGAAACAATTATTGATTTTGTAGTGTATGTGGTGTAACTCTCAGGGACTGCTGTCTTGACAATTACTGATGGTTGACATTTGAGGTTTGAGGCAGGAACCGGCCTCTGCTCCAGCATTTCTTTTTCTTAAGCAGATTTCCAAAAACATTTCCCGACTAAAACCATCACTGAGCTCGAAGGCAGAAATATATACTTCTTTCATATAAGTATACATCATACAAAGTATAGACTTCTCATGTATGGAACTGACATAAACAATAGAGACAAGAAGAGCTAGCGCTGGAGGCCAATTAGATACATTTATGCAGCATACTGAGTGAAAATACTTTGAGGAACGTATACAGGATGGAACCCATACATGAAGGGGAACTCCTCATTATGGATAACACATGTGAACAAAGAACTTAAAAGGCAGCCACTTAAAGAAGACAGTCATAAGAAATCCTGGAAGTTCCATCTGCCAGAATGGAGGGAATGAACTGAGGTCCTTGAGGCACAATGCACCTATCGTGCTTGGTGGTGGTGGGTGAGTGATGTGTGTGTATAATGTATACGGTCGTTCAGATCAGCAAAAAGATTCACTGAACGAAGTAAACAAAAATCACAGCAAGAGGGTCATTTTCTTTGCTGTTTTCTCATTCGCAGTATGTTTACAATAGAGTACATAATACATGTTCATGCATGTTTTGAACTGTATACATGATATTCAGAATATGTGTATTTTCATACATTCATATCATGGCTGAAGTTCAGAGTTCTTGGGTCTGTCCCACAAAGCACAGCTAACTAGGTCAGGTTTCCTGATTGAGCTTCAGCTTCACAAAACCAAACAAATACGGTCGTGGGTAACGCGATTCATGAAGGGGGTTAAATTTCTTTGTTAATCCAGTTTTTGGCTTTACATTGTTTATGTATTATACACTTGGTTGAGATTCAAGTGTTAATTCATCATTTACAAAATTCTGATAAAGTCGTCTTTAGTTACTGTTGTAACATCAATCAAACCTTTAGCTTGAGCAGCCTGGTAGCATCCATAACACTTGTACTAAGAAGTTCAGTAGCACAAAGGAAAATTTAGGAGCACACAGACGTATGTTTGAAACATTTAAAACATAAACGGGCTCTACAAGCCAGTTCAGTGTAGACATTTTTGAGAAGTGATGAACTAGGGAAGTCGTTTAGTCCCTCGATGTTAAAGCGGCAGATTTTCATGTCCCTTCAGATAAGCTAAAGCTAAAGCTACACAACATTTTTGCAGCATATTCATTTACAGCATACAGCAGCCACGCTTATTAATAGAAACTGTCCTATCATGTTTCAATGGAAAGTAAATGTAGCATTAGCAGTCATTTTTCCCAATGCAGCCTAAATCTTTCCATTTCTGCCTGAGCGAGGAGTTGAACCCCAGCCTCGTCGTCTTTTAAGCTAACTTGAATGCAACATTACAATGAATGGCATAATATTCACAAATGTGAACCCTGCACTGTCCAGTTTAATCTGACTGATTTATCAAGTCAACTGTTAGCAGCTAACTAGTTAACATTGGATAACTGATTGTTCTGTTTTGTTATTTATCATTAGACATCATTAAAAAGAGTGTTAACAAATACAATCAAACAACAAATAAAGATTAGCTTGCCTTCAAGCCAGCATAAATCTGTCTGTTGATAGTTCTGCCACTGAGCTGTGAGTGTGATGTTCCAGAGTTTAATTCAAAAGTTTTTCATCTTCAGGAATGAAATAAAAACAGCACCACCCTCCAGATGACGAAGATAACTTGGGTCAGGCATTACGTGTTCCTCAGTAACACTGTCCCATCATTTCCTAATCTAATTCAGACTAATTTACTGCCAGCATTGTTCTCACTGCAGGTTTGTTTTAAGGAGTTCTGTCCAAAAGTTTTCTTCACTTGCCCAAAATTTATCGTACTTACACGATACACATGTGAACCCCACCACAGTGTTTTAATGACTAGTGGCAAACTGGGATTTTTGATGAGCTCAGACTTTCTGCAAAAGCAATAGAAATCTACATGTGAAATACCAGATAAGAGGATATGCTGTAAGACGATTCTAACTGGATAACAGCATTACTCATCTACTCATCTCATTGCGCATCCTCTGGTCTGTATTTTGTTGCAGTAATGCAAAATAACCTTTTTCTCTGTGACAACAGAAAAACAAAAGTAAACAAAAAAAGTATTATTTCAATCTTGTTACTGACCAAAAGCCTTTGAACACATATTATGCCGTTCTCATCACCTCTGTGAAGACTTAAAGGCAAAAGTCTGTGAACTTGAAGTCAGCATTAACCTGCCTCAGAGCTGTCGGATGTGCAGCAGAAGTTGTCATGGCGATGTTTCCTGCTTAAAAGTCACTCACTATTTTGAGACACGGGCCTGTGCACAGACATTTTTGTGAGCAGGGTCTCAAATGAAAAATGTGCATCCTGGGCGTGAATTAATTTTAATGTAATTTACAGCATATAGCAGCCATGCTTAGCAAGAGAAACTGTCTCTTAAACTGTCTCATAAATGTAGTGTTGAGAGTCTTTCCCAAAGCAGTCTAGATTTTTTCTATTTCTGCCTGACCAGGGTGTTGAAACCCAGCCTCCAGCATATAGATATGGCTATGGGGTAACTACTAAACTAGTATCTAATTACTAGAGATACATGAGTTATAACTGTCTTTAAGAGGTCCACCTAGCCTCAAACTTCAAGATCTGTTAACAAAGAGCTTGATTTAGAAAAGTTATTAATGGTTGTTGTTCAAACTAACCAGATTATGGACTGTGAAGCTTTCTTCTAGAGGCATTATCAGTGTTTGATCAAATTCTAGAGGGGACGCACAAAACCAAAGACGCTGGTGGAAGCCAGGCTGACCCATTCCTGAGGAGAGGCTGAGCAAACTGACCAGTAGCATATTTGTACAGTCTGAGGACAAAAGGACAGGGACTTAAAGCCCCCCCCCTCCAGGGTTGCTAGTTAAGACATAAAATTCAGGGTTAAATTGAACCAAAGTTTAAAGTTGACTGACTAAGCAAGAAGTTGTGCTCTATGAGACAGGCCCTGGTATACTGTTTTTGTTTATATTTTATGTTTATTGATATGAAATTGATTGTAGTGTTGAAGCACTATTGAAAAAGTTTTTCTGGTGTGCCTGTTAATCTATAAATTTAGTTTGGAAATTTGAAATTCAGTAATGTGGGCCAGTTTGTTTCTGATGCATAAGCTCATGCGTATGTGCATTAAAGTGTGTCTGTGTCAGAATCCTTACCTTTTGGCTCTTTATTGTTATATTTCTGTGATAACAGTAGCTTACATCTTTCAGTGGAACTGCAAACTGGGCTGCTAAGTATGACTTATTATATGAGGGGGAGAACCTAAATTAAGCCTTTAACATCCATCCAACCAACCAGACCATCTGTGAGCGTGTCTGTTGAGTCTGCTGTGATGTAAACAACCTGTGGGTTATCTGTTTTAAGGAACCAGTGTGTACAAATATGATGTAGGATGACAGTAACAAGTAAAGCAGACCTTGCAGGGAGCTAAATCATTAGCACATAAAAAGGTGTTAAATTTTGACATGGTGCCTCTTTTTCCTTCTACTTGCTCTTAATGCAGTTTTCTTGGGCAATCTATTTACTGAATAAAACCCTTTATATCTATCAGAAATGTGACTTGCTTCAGACAAAACAGAGTACACTAAAAACAATATGCAGAAACATGCATTAACTGTGAAACTGCATTATTACGTATAGTTAAGACTCTGTGTCTTTAAGCCAAGAGCTTTCGGGAACTGAATTATTTATCTTATCTTCATACTTATTAACTGTGTCCCAGAAAAATATTTTCAGGTGTAAGAAGAGCCAAACTAATGAAAAAGTGAGAGTTTATTTTACTTTCTGATGAAGGGTCTACTTTAATGTTGATTTTGGTTGAACTTTGTAACACAGGAAAAAGAACTTTGCTCCAAAAAGGTCAAAGATAATATATACTAATTTTGAACAGGCATAATGAAATGATTGAATTATGTAACACCGCTATGAACGGACACCAGCCACTCTGTTTGTCCCAGAACATTTATCGACCTAGAACAGGCTGTGATTGTGCTGAGCAGCTTTAGGGAATATTGTGATCTCACAGTGGAGGTGTTAGTTCCTCACTTTGGAGAAGCAGGTTTGGACAGATGACAATTGGAGGGTGATCTTGTTTTATTTATCACCAAAATGTGTTTCTGAGGATTATTAAAGTTCAAGACGGTAGAACGGCACATTGTTTACAGTGACTGAAGATCTGTAAAGCCCTTTCCGTTTATAAAACCATGTTCTGGAAGAATATTTAAAAAGTACAATTTCAATTCTTCACAGCCAAGAAATGACTGTTAAAAGCAAAGATGGCAGGCTTTCAGAGCAGTGCTGGTGGAACCTGCTGATATAGAGCAACTTTCACATGCTTACTGTTCTGTGACTCGCTATAAAAAAGGAAAAGAGGAAGCTTATGTTACCGCAGGATTACGTCTACAGCACACTCCTTACGTATGAAGAAGTTAGAGAGCTGAGACAGAGCAGCGTTAGCTCACGCATGAATAAGAAGCGTTGCTTGATGGAAGCCACTGATTGTAATCGTGTCAGTTATGCTCAGGAGCGGAAATAGTATTGCTGAAAAATTCCTAGTAAAACTGCAACTGTGCTAATTCACTTGAACTGTGTAACTGTGCTGATTCACCTGAACACAGTCATGTGAAAAATGTGACCCTGGTCAAATTTCTGTTTATCTTGAAAATTAGCTTAGCAAAATTAGCTAGCTAACAAACTCACAGAAGAGCATGTAAGCAAAAAGGTTTAACAAAAACTGTCTCGTACCAGTCATGATCATGAAATTTGAGCTGACGATTAATTGTCATATAAATAACTGCGATTAACAATTCGTCATTCATGGTTCATTATATCCTATAGGGTTTCAGTCATGTGATTTTTCTGTTGTGGCCGCCATATTTGTGAATTTCTGCCATCGCTGCTCAGCACAAAGGTAAATAAAGGTGAAAGATGGCTAAAATTACTCACCTTACTTTGGAAGAGAAAATGTTACCGCGACAGTGTTTCCCCTCGAACTCCAGGCCCCACTTAAACTGGCAGAAACGTACCAAATTTGTGTTTTCCTTACATTTATTTGTATCTGATACACAACCCCTCTTCCTATTCTGCAGAGTCTCTCAAAGCATTTAAAACCACAGAAGCCCACCGGCTCTTCACGTCAGGGAGAGTAATAACCATACACCAGAAGACTTTGAAAAGACTTTTGAAAGACTGACATCCTCTCACATCTAAAGACAGTGTCACGGTTTTTAGTCACAGACTATGATTTTGCAAAGACTAGGAATCTTGCAGTGTCACTATTTACAAGACTGCAACTAGATTTTTGAGATTATTCCCCATCATGCACCTGGTGCAAATTTACAAGCAGATAAACCCTTTCCTTCCACTCTATAGTGGCACAGATCATCACCCAGAATCTTGTATTTAACCTGAAAAATGTGGAGTTACTTGTTAAATTTGATATAAAGATTTACTCATTAACACACCATGCAGCGAATCACCATTGTTGAATGGGTGTCATGAACTAAACCATAAGAAACAAACAAACAAAATAAGAAACCAGTGTAACAGAAAACAGAAAAAAAACAATGATTCTTCAGTAACGGAATTCTTAAAGTCCTCTGCACATTTCCTTACGTGTTACAGGCTCAGTGAACCTGAAATATTAAACCAGTCAGTTTACATTTTACGTACAATTTACATACAAGTTTACATACAAGTTAATATGATTATTGTATTTAAGTGGAGCAGATCTGCCGTTTTTACAGAGATTTCAGGCACTTCCGCCTGCATTTTCTCTGTCTCTCTCTCTCTCTCTATCCTGCGCTCGCCCGCAAGCACTCGCGCGCCCCTGGCACATCACTATTTGCATGAGCCAAGACTTAAAACTTACCATAATATTAAACACGGTTGATTTTGTCGCAGCGTCAAGACGAGAAAAAGACTGACTTAAGACCGCCGTCTTGACCACCTTACAATAAACGATCGAGATGACGGGAGCGCGACGCAACTGTATCAAGATCCTCAGGATTTTATTCCTACATGGAAATCAGTTGTTCCCCTAACGGAGCTGCAAACAGCCGGGTATAACTTTGCTTCTCTGTTTCTGGAGATTTAAATGACATTTGAATGAAGAAACATAAACGTTAAATATAAGACTGGATGTCGTTTGGGTCAGAAAACTACACTGTGTTTCGACAGACGTGATTTTGTAAGTTTGCTAGGGTAGTTAGTGCAGAGTTCCC